AACAATTTATCACATTCTGGCACTCTCCCGTGTCTCTCCGTTCATTTATTCATTTCATGTCAGGTATCCTCAGCCTTTCTGCCACTTAATACGTGTTGATAAATGCTTCGATAAGATAAAGGAATATGAGGCTAATTTTCTGATTTTTTTCCTCAAATCATTTATGCTAAAATGATTTATTTGACTTCATATGCAGTCCTATCATTCTGTCAGGATAAAATTATGATCACTACAAGTGCGATGGAGCTACTCTCTGAGAACGTTAAGATAGCGCAAAAGTGTGCTATCAGAGTATCTTTTCCCAAAAATGCCTGTGAATTATCCCCTTTACTCCTTTATTAACAGTGTTTATTTAACAAATAATTGCGTAAGAGCGAAGTTCCTTTCCCTATCTTCAGAAGGAAATCAGGAATGAAAAGTGAAAAGGTATAGAAAGGTAACAGTGGGATGCCCTCAGGTGCAGAATTAGATAAGTTCATCGTTCTTTGATAGACTAAAGTGAACACCCTGCACGATCTTGAAATTATCGCATCTGTGCATTTCTCTCCCTTTGTCTAAATCACTTCAATTTTTTTCTTGCATGTTAATTTTCATCTGTCCCCATCATTTATTATGCCATTCCTTTTTCTTCCTCTTTCATTTCTTCTTTGCTTCTGTTCACATCTCTCCTCATCTTAACGATAAATGAATGATAAATATATCATCATAGTGCTGATAATCATTCTCATGTCCATCTCAGATTATTTACAGCTTATCCTCTCTATCAACAACGCTCCCAAAGTTTATTTTAAAACGGAAAACAGAATGATATCCTTTGAACGGTTGTTGACAGAATGAATTTATTTCAACATTCATCACACATCAAAGATACTGTGACGCATTATAGGTAAATTATAATGCCATTTTCTCATTTATATATCTGGCAACAATGAATAAGAGAGTGATATGAATATAGGATCGATTCGATGGGCCATAATGGTTGTCAATTTTATTTCTTAAGCTAACTCGTGTTTTAAACGCATTAAGGCGCATTACGGAGATCTGCTCCTCGCATTTATTATTTCACTCCTCTTATTCAAGCTTTACTTATCAGTTAGTCTTATTCTGATCATTATTGCTTTTTTATTCTCCCCTCTTATCCTGATCTGACCATTTATTTAAGAGAAATGAGCTACAAAGTTTTCGGATTTCTTAAATTAATTTTTCAGTTTCTTACACTTTTTAAAATATCTAATTTTTTTATGGCAGAAATAAAATTTTTAATGTGCAAGCTTTCAAAGCTTTCAGCATATTTCAAACGTCAATTTAATGTTGCTATTCAGACAAATGCCTTAAAATGTGATTTGAACGAAATAAATACCCATTCTTCAGCATTTTATTCTCTTCTTCATTTCAATTTTCCATTTTCCTTTTTTGTCATCAATCATTGCCGTCTCTTGTAAATTGATGTAATAGATTGTAGCTACCCGAACAAATTGGGTACTATTTTACTGCCAGTATTTTTGTAATTTATTTTTTCTGTGACCTATGGACAGTTATTATTGTAGTCACTTTTCTTCTGTTCGTATGTTATGTTTATTGTCTGAAATAAGAAAATTTTAAAACTTGAAGATTTCAGAAAATTATATGGATTTATTGATTTTCGAACGCAAGCATCGAACCGTAGAGAATTGTAAAAAGCCATTATCTGTTCAAGTTAGTAAATATTATGGAATATTGGAAGGTGAACAAGTTATAGTATCAGATTCGAAGGCTGCTAGTGATTTAAATACATCTGGATGTTACGGTGAATTTTTGCAACGACGTGAGCCCCGCGTATCAATGGAATGTTTCGAAAATAATGTTCATCAACAACACCAGCAAGAAAGGTGTCATTTTAAGATTTCACTTATGATTCTATTTATAATAATCTTAAAGGGGTGACAGTAATAGTGCTTAGCCAAATTTATCTGATTATTAGAAAGACTGAATCCTTATCTTTTCTTTTTTAATGAAACTTGGATTATTTGTCAACGACATAGGCTTATCGCCATTGTGGTCCTAGAAAAACTTATTGCCTTAAATTTTTGATTTTTTTCTCTTTTTTCTCTTTTTTCATATCTTGAAACTTTTCCAAAACTTTAGTACCTTTATTTGAAATAATAATTTTCTGGTGTAATTTAAAATATCTTTAAATAGTATCATTTGTTCCATCTTTTTTCATGGGTTTTTTTTATTATGCTACACTCGATCTACATTATTTCCTATTCTCGTCCCGTTAGACTTAAAAGTTCTACATTTTTAGTTAAAATATCTGTCTTTTGGTTTTCGATTGAGCTTCTGCAAGAAAAAACTGTTTACTGATGAAATTGATGCTAACTATTTCATCACTGATCCTATTTAATTTTCTGCATAAAGAGACAGTGGTGTTTTACCCATTCCTCTGTCTTCCGTGAAGTCAAATTAGCAAGTAGCGTAGCTGTTCAAGTATGGGACACTGGAATAGATCATTAAATGGTTTTAAATTTAAAGAGAATTTTTTCTTCAGTGTCAAATTTTTTTGCTTTTAGTCTCACTTCATCATTTTCGAAAAAAGTTTCTATATCATAAAACCTTTCAAATACTATGTTGCCACACACCATCTCCCAATTATTCGAACATTTTTGACACTCTTTGGCAGGAGAAATTTGTCGTCAACTTTATATCTCTAAAGCATTTTTCTTCATTCTGATCTGTCGTAAAATTGTTACATATAATAAATATTCGATGTCATTGATTTTCGTGGTTGATTCAGACAAATAGTTCTTTTTGGAAACTATCATATTTTCATATCATAATTTACTATCATAATTTTATTAAAACCATAACTCTCAGTTTTTCTGATGATAAAGGATTAAACACTTTTCTTGTGACATGTCTTCATATTTGTCGTATAACATGAAAATTTACATTTCTGAAAGCACTGTCACATGTGCTCTTCAACTCTCCGTATCCTCTTGATATTAATTATAATTTAGAATTGCACTCAGTCTCGATATTTTGCTGTTTTTTATTACGCACTATTTTTCTGTCACTCTCTTTTTTTCATTCAGTTTAATCCCAATGCGTTAATACCAAGCCGATTAACTACTTTTAAACTGAAATTGCTTTCCAATTCATTCCATATCTAACAACATTTCAAATTACCTCTTGCATTTGCAGCTGCGAAATTATGGTAGAAATAGTTGCTAAATTTTGTTTTCATTTCTGACAGATTACTATTATTGTCATCGATTCCATTATTTAATTTTCATATCAGTTATAAATTTGTTAATGGTGAAAGGATGAAATTGGCCTAGAATATCTATGTGTATATCTATATATAGAGAATGAGTATTGTGGGCGAAGGATGGGATATATGCTCTCTGATATCATTTATCAGCTTGATAGGCCATCGTTTATATACAGTCGCATTTGCTTGCTTCGAATTCCTTTGTTCGTTTGCTACGATTTCGTCTGTTTATTTCAAATCCATTATTTAACCGATGTCATTACCTATGTTCATAAATGAACTCTTATATTGTTCATATATTGATTGAGATAATGAATTTATTGAAGGCATTGGGAATTTTTGAGAACTGTGATCACTATCTCATGCAGTTTGTTTTTTATTTTTTTTTAGTCCGAATAAATGAGGAGCTAATTAAGTTCAGGCCATTCCATTTTAATGAATTTCATTCATTAGCTTGGCACGTCTTTCATATTTCGCTCTTATATAATTGATTTATTATGGTAGTTTTAATTTATTTTCATTTTTCATTTTTATTCTGTAATACTGCATGCCTACAAAAAGCAATGTGAGACGTTAATTCACGGCATTTTGCTCGCCAAATGATGAATGATATAATTGGAAATAAGATTATTTCACTTTTCAAAAACATTACATGTTTCATATTTCTCAGCATTATTCATAAATTTTTTTCAATAATGGACATTCAAGAAGAGATTGCTTTTCATACGACATAGTTTTCCCTGATTTTCCGACCGAATTCTCATACTTTATAATTTTTTGGAAGTAATTCCGAAGAGCATTATTAGAAGTGTTCCGACTTTTCTCTATATGCCACTGTATTGATCTATGTGCTTTTTGAAACTAAAAAACTTCCAGTCACTGAACATGTAGTAAGCGTCACTTCTTATCTACATCTGATAGTTGTTTTAATCGTAATTTATAGCAGATCTGGAAATCAAGGCTTCGTTAATAAAGAAAAGTTTCTAATAGCTATTTAATATTCATGTTATTACAGTTACTACTTATTGAGTTATTGATAGCATTATCGGTACCTCATTTAAAATTTATTGACTACTGCTAATGAAAGCATAGCATAGCGTGGAAATTTCAGACTATCTATCTCTTTGATGTGTTAGACCCCTAATCGATTTTCTAACTTTATATTACCATTTTCTGGACCAGAATGGAAAGAATAACTCTGCTTTTGATTCGTTTTTATGTAGACTAAAAAACATTAAACAGAACGCCAAAGCGATACCGTTCTCATTGATCTAAATAGCTTTTTTTATGCGATTTACAATTTTTAGCATATGGGCTTTGAAAGATAGAATCAGACACTTGGTTTTAAAATTTTTTGTCTGTTCATTTGTATGGGTCATTTCTCATTCAAGGGTATTTTCTAGTTACTCTTCGTGTTAATATAGATTTAGAAACAACTGTGATACTTACTTAATCTCAAAAATATTTAGATATGAAATTCTATTCTCCATTATGGTTGACTTTAAATGAACGTAAAGATGAGTGTTACGTGTAACCATTATGAAAAGTATGTGTGTAATTGGCTCTTACATGTTCAGATCATTCCAGACAGGTCTTTTTAGGTATTTTTTGAATAATGGAAATTTTTTTGAAAGGCGGTGTGCTGCAACGATCTTTATAAAATCTTTTTCAATTTCCTTATCTTTTTCACCATTCCATTTATTTCAAATGTACTGTTGTAAAAAAATAACTTTTCGATATGCGCTTTTTTGATGGAAGAGTTTTTTATGATTGTACTATCTGGATGTTTAGGAAGTTTAATGAGGTTATTTCAGATTAGCTAAAACTTGGAAAAAATTATGGCCAACGGATAACTCACTTCGTTTGGGCATGGAGGAAGCAATATACCTCAGTGCGGAAATCGCAGTGTTGCACATATTTACTGATAATGGGCAAGAATGTGCACCAGACGTTATCTGGAAGGCATTCTATGATCGTTATGGAATTCGATTTGTAAGACGTTATGCAACTTACCGATATTTTAGATGTCAAGGTTGGATTGTGCGATCTGGCCTTCATTATGGAGTGGATTTCATGCTTTATCGTGATGGGCCTGAATATTATCATAGCAGTGCAGCGGTACGAATTGTTTCTACAGAAGATAAACGCGATGTATCATCCTTCATTGTGCTTAATAGAGAGTTAAATAGTATAAAGAAGACATTGATAGAAGTGACCGTTATTATTCCTGAGGACTGTAATGTTCAAAGCATCGATTCCATCCACTGCATTTCTGTTAAACATACTACCTCCCTCACTTGGAAGACATCTGATGATCGGTGATTTTCTTTCTTTCAAATTTCAAATTTTCCAAAGATCACAACTTTTTTATGGCGATCTGTGTTACTGAATAAAATGGCTCATTTGACAACTCTCATAATACAGTTAGATTTATTAACATTTTGATATTTTCAGTTGAAACCAATAACTATAATCATTATCCAGTGTTTTAAAATTGCCTTAACGATTTTTTTAAATTTTATTTATTGCTCAGTTTTTATCAAAGCTTTTTGTTTTTACATAGTAGAAACAGACTAATAATGCTATCTTTTCAGCAAATGGTGCATAGATTCATAGTTAAACCTATTCAGTCTTATTTGCAGAACTTAAAAAGCTTGGTCTTTAAATAATTGAAACCATTTTAAAACCTCGTGAAAAAAATCTCTTAGATGATACCTCTTCCTAATTTCTCAAACTACTCTACAACATCTTTAGTAACGTTGTTTTTTGTTGATTACTGCATATCAGGCTAACAAAAAAGCAGCGATGTTTTATGGTATAAAATATTTTAAAGCGATTTTGCATCTTCAAGCATTGCTTGTTTCTCACCTTCTAATTGCTGAATACGATTGTGCATATCGGATACAGCTGTACATCGTACTATATTCTTAATGCAATGCAAATCATCTGTCATATTTATCAATTGATCATAGTATTGTTGATTCACACAGTGATTTTCTATTGTATATTTTTTACTGATCATAAAACCATTTAATTAATTTTTTTGGTTTATTTCCTTCAGTGTTATTGATTCCTCGAATTCGTTTTTTAATTTGAATTTTCATTCAATGGTTAATCATATTTTGCAAATTTAAACTTTATTTAGCATACTGTTTTTGAAATAGAGTAATTTACATCCTTATTTATCAAATCTCGACTGTTTTTCTAAGAAATAATTTTACTGATTGTCAGACGTTAGGCATATATGTAATGTTGGGTAGATTTTATAAAAGTGAAAAGAGCTCCCATTTCAGTATAAAGAGAAACATGCGCGGATGAAAGGGTAATTTACGCTTCACGTAGAAATTCAAAAGCCGACTTTGGATTTCCTATTCTTATTTGCCTTTTTCGAATTCCGCTTTAGTTTTTAAAGTGATAGTAGGAATTAATTACTTTGTTCATTGGGAGGGCGATTGTTAACAATGGGGAAGGTGAAGTCATCGTTGGGCCGCGTTAAATTGGTCAGTTTTTTAAAGAGTTCTGGTACTTGTAAAGATGTTTGATTGGTTGTGGTGTTTATTTGTGGCGGTGTGGAGGATGAGCGGTAGGAGGAATGGGTTTTTTCTGCCAAGGAAGGTTTTCAAAGAGTAGAGGAAGTTTCTTCACTTTCTGCGATAATTTTTCACTTTCTAATTCTTCACTTTCTCTGTGATCTGTCACACTCCTGAGCGCTTTTTTACTTAATCTTGTATCGAAAAAGCATTTACTACTCGCATTTGATATGTAATAAAATTGGTCATCCTCAAGTTCCTTTAAATAAAAAGCATTCATTCGTGGATAAATAAATGGATCTATGCGCGTGGAATTGCAGGATGAGATTAAATTCTTATAAGTTCTAAATAAATCGCTTTGCTTTTTGATTGCTTTAATATTCTTTTCTGTATTAATCAGTTTCTTGCAATTTACCTTTTTCCTTTGTAAAATCTCCTATGTTTCTAATGCGCTTTTTTAATTTCCTTTGCAAATCAGAATATATTGAATGATTCGCTTTAAAGATTAAGAAAGCATAATTGTACAAGATGCCTTTGATTGATATGGCAGAAGCTGTAAGCCGTGGTGACATTATTGTCGACGAAGTAGATGCGCTGAATGCTGTGAATTCTGGGAAATTGAGTGAGATTGAAACTGCTCGATTTAGTCCATTGGTTATTGAACATTCTCGACGACAGAGTGGCGGAACTGGCTCTGCAATTAATCGCGCAGGTGATTTTTCGAAATTAAAGAATCTCGTGAAGTGGATTTTTACCAGATGTTGATATGGTATTATTTTATTAATCTATCACATGAACGTGTTTGTAGTCACTGAAGGCGAATAGATATAACTCTTCACTGAAATGAAATAATTGCAGGTATTAAACGTTGGTCTTAGTTATAGAACTTTCTGGAGCAACTAAAAAGTCTTAAATATGAAAGTGAGCAGGCAGTCATCATCAGTGTTCAGTGATGTTTGGTTATTGTTAACGCGGTTTTTAAATTGACTTTTTCAGATCCACTACAAAATTTGGATGGTATTGAGTTAGGGGATACAAATGGAACTACAGGAAGCGATGATGAGCATGCATGGAATAACGTGTTAGTAGATGAAGTTGATTTCGTTCATGCTGTTGAACGGGGCCGTATCAACAGGAATGACTTACACATTATGGGATGCCGAAGCAACGGTTAGTTTTGAGACAGAGTTTCAGTTGATAGTTTAGAACATCTTTTTTTCATAATTTGTTCGAATATGAGTAATTTCAAGTACTTGAGACTAAATTGTTTGCAGTAATTATAGGTATTTTTTCATTACACACATCAATCTTGTTTGAAAACTGAACTGTGTTCAAACATGGAAATCATTTTATTTTGATATTTGCAGGTGATACTTGGATTCCTCAGCGTATGGTAGATGATGTCGAAGAGTTTGGTGATATTTCACACAGTGAGAACGGTTGGAATAGAGTATTGGTTGATGAAATTGACATTCTTCACGCTGTTGAACAGAGATCCAGGATTGTTAACCGTAGTGAATGTCGTCTCACTTATATGCATCGAGGTATGTATCTAGATTCGATATCAGTTGAGACAAATAAAGACAATATTTTGTAATTTTGAGTAGTAATTGTACCTAAGATGCAAACTTAAATTTGCAGAGTCTTCATATAATGCCAATATAATGCGAATAAGTTCTTTCAGAATGTAACGTAGCGCTGTCATTTCTAGCTGATCACTCACACATTATTACTCGATTGCTTTTCAAAAAAGATTCTTTAAATATTATGTACTTAATCATTGATGGATCTTTATTTTTTAACAGAAAATGGAACTGAAAGACTTGGGAGGAATAATGATATTGTTCAAAGAGCAGAATCAGCAGTAAATGGTGAATCATCGTTTGAAATTGGTAGGACCGTCGGTACTGGCCGTCCAAGTAGAGGCAAGCAATAATTTCATTGAGTGCCTTATTTTCCTTATATATTTTTTACAATTAGGTTTGTTGTTCGCGCAATCTGTTGTTATTTTTATTTTTTCATGGACGTTAGCCATGTTTAAGAATTCCCATGATATTTGATTTGTTTAAGTTTTACTTCCATTTTCTTGAAAGGTATGAAAGCCTAATTTTGATTTTTGTTTATGATGTTATCACATGATGAGGTTGACATTCTACTTTATCAAGTTTAAAGCTCAGTGTATGTTTGTCCGATTACTGCTCCTTCGTTTCATTCTGAAATTATAATGTAAGCAGTCTTTTTCTTCACATTTTGTTCGCCTACCTGATCTTTTTGGACCGTTGTTTGAGGGTTTTTAGAATAATATTTGATTGCTGGAGAGTTCTGCTTGCACATTAATTACTTTCAGCTATATGATATTTTGCGGTAATGGATACCAAATAGGTAGTTGAATCGAAAATCAAAGTGAGAAATAGCGAAGTATAATAGCTGATCATTAAGGAACTTATTATTGGATTTTGTGTTAGAAAGTGGTAGTGATATGACTTATTGTCGTGGGAGCCTCGTATAATTATGAATGGTGTTCTCACTTCTCAAGCGTGTACATTATCATATGGTGTTTAATAAGTAAGTCGATAGACCGGAAATGCTAGGTAGCTAAGACTGAAGCAGCATTCATCATGTCTTTATAATTGATTAGTACTTTTTGAACATTGCTTAAGTTGACATGGCTCAAATGCTTAATCATCTGTTTACTTGTTATCTAATGTGGTAATTGTTTTCGTAACCGTCAGAAAATGTCTTTCAACTCAACTGCTGCGTCATTCAGGTTGACTGCCTGAACTTTTCTGAACTTTCATAACTTGCTATCTTTCAGTTTTAGGTCGCTTTACAATTGTTGCTGCTTTCAATCATTTTTCCTTAGGTTAAACGCTTCAGTTGAAATCATGACAGAGAAATGTGCACTTTATATTGACATACTCCACAATATTCTCAGAACTTGTAAAAAAAATTTTTCTGAAGGAGCTTTGATCAGAAGGATTATAGAATTTATTTGTATTTATTTGTTTGTGAAAAAGTTAATTATTTCTTGGCATGAACTGTGAGTGGAAGAATTCTTTCCATTATTTAATTGAAATCTCTCTTTGGAATTTGTCTTTTGAAGAAAGCTTAATATATTAAAATAGCTTGCTACTATGATATTACGTCATGTATTTTTTATGTTGAAAATTTTTATAATTTTGCCTGGATGAATATTCAGACTTCTTTATCTGTAAGATTTTGGTTAGCAGAGTTCGTTCATCTCGAAATTATGTAGTCTATTCTGTTTTATAAAAAACCTGCTTGATCTTGCAAATATAAAGGCATAACATACTAACAATCTATTGTGCTCTGAATAAATCAGTAAATTTATTCTCGACCACACTGGCATTTGCTATTGCTGCCTACGATCTTTTTTACTTTTATATGCTTTTGCAATAAGCTTTTATGCCTTTAAAAACATGTGTGATTAGTTTTAGCGAAGAAGGCTAAGTAGCAGAGGATAGTTACATTCCATTAGAATCAGTGATGTTTTGACCATCTGCAGGCGCTTAATGCATCGTTTGTTTTTACAGAAATTTCTTTCCCAAATAAAATTGAAATTTGAATAACTATAATACGTATCTCAGTTTAGATAAGCAAAATTGGTTTTGTCGTTTCCTAAAATAAATGGTCGAGACATAGAAATAAATTATTGAATACGATTCGCAAATTCTTAATGATCGCCATTTGTCAGTTTAAGTCCTCAAAAAAATAAAGACTAGGAAACATTTGGGGACCGTATTGGCGAGGTCCATCCAAACATTGGCAACATTGTCTTTTAAAAGCTACTGGTGTGGAATATTCTTGAATTGATTTAATTCGGCATTTATAAGCATTTGTGAATCGATGTTATGATCTGCACTTTGCTCATTAAATGAGGACATCAATGGATGATGACTCATGGGACTTTTTCTCGTCATCGGTCAGGATGTCGTCGTGGAAACTTATTTTTGCTTCTTCAATATCGCCCGACGAATCTTCAAGGAGTTCTGTAATTGCTTATTTCGAAATTTCTCCGAGCATTTAAATTGAAATGATTGTGAACTATGCTTTGTTTTCCCATCGTTTTGTTATATTCCAGTCAATTGCTAATTGTTTAAATTTTAAAAGGATCTGCGAAACGAAAAGCCATATTTTGTTCCCTATTGTCAATTTGAGTTGAAAAAGATGGAATTAAAAGGTCCTAATAAATTATGCGACTGTCACGTACCCTTGTTAATAGATGTTATGTGGCAGTCATCTTTGCTAATTCGTCCAATCTTAAGTGCTTCAATGAAGTCCACTTCATCCACCAATACTTCATCCCATTTGGTTGATTTAGATGATGCTTCTTGTGCTGATTCCAAATATTCCCCATATGCTTTTGAAGATTCTAATTGAGAACTTTGGGTTTAATTTTCTCAAAAATCTGAATTACATCTCGAAATTTTTTATATTGCTTGAAGTATGTCGAGAAATAATTTCCGAAGCCAAGAAATTGATAAAAATGATTTCTATTCTCTCAAAAATTTTAGTACTCTGTTTCAACACTGTCAGAATGGCAGTTGCCATTTGATCGATTTCAACTGAAGTATTCGTATTTACGTAACTATAAGTTCAAGATCAGGAATGAATTAGTGAATTTTGACTTGCTACGTTAATGTTCAGTAGGAGACATTTGTCAAATAGCTCAACAGGTGGAATTCCGTACCGAAGTCTCTAAAACAGAAGACAGATGAAATTCCGTACAAAAGTCTCCAGAAAAAAAAGTATGTCAGAGCTTTTCTAATCCATAATGATAAAATGATATATTGATTAAATAATAAATAAAAGAAGTGGAGTGACAGTGTAGAAGATTAACTTTCAGCGCAAATAATTTCGGAAATTAAGTACATTAATCTTTAGTTAAATAAGTTCTGAAATTAAGTACAGTTTAACAATTTAGTCTAGACAATAAGAAAGAAATGAATTCGTACTTCTGTGTAACTTGGAATACTCTTCCAAAATCGCACTAAATCGAGCACCATCACGTGCACTAAGTCGTCCTTTCTCAACCGCTTCAATCACATCAATCTCGTCAACCAAGATGTCACCTCGAACCACCGCTTCTGTCAAGTCTACCATTTGACCCCTAAGTTACTGCTGTAATAATTATCTATAGTATGTCAAATAAAAGAACTAAGCTAATCAATAGCACTTTCTTAAATGTTTACAAGAATGATCTACCGATTCTGATAAATTTAAGGCGTGAAATGAGAGGCGAATGCTTTTCCTCTTTCTTTTATAATAAAATTTTGTAGCTATATGTAGAGGATTTCAAGCAATTTGCATAATAAATAAAATGAAGTTCTTAAATTGAAAGGCATTTGTGCAGTGGTTGAAAAGGTTAAATTTTACCACTGAAAAGGTCCTTCTGTGGATAGACCAACTAAAAATTTTGAGATTTATTGAATTAAGGAAATATAAATTAACCAATCGATTTTTAATTTATATTAGGAAATTGCAATCGTAGCCATTTAATGATTTAGTTTTTCATTTACTCAATGTAATCAGTGCTCAATGATTGAAAATTTTAAATTCGATTACTGCAATTCGAATTTATAGTTCGGAAATTCATTTTATTCTTAAACTGTATAAAAATTCAGATTTCTTTTTTTTGCTGTTGAAACAGTTATCGGTGATTTTTTATTTTCCATAAATTTTTCGAATAAATTCTTCTCGAATTCAGTTCGAATTCGAACTCATAATCTCACTCAACACACTCTTAATAAAACTGATACTTTGTTCTTCAATTATAGATTTGGAATCAGATTGGGCATTACAAGAATCTGCCCAATGATATTCATTTTTTGCAATTTTTCTAATTATTATTTGATCGCTTTTATTCATATTATAATTTTACTACTACTTAAAATGGCATTTTCAAAAACTATAAAAGCTAATTTGTTTTTTTTCCATAGAAAATTTTTAATTGATAGGATTCGTATTGCTATCGAATGCGATCGAATGCCGAGTTTAATCATTTCCCGACATAACATTAATCGTCTCCCTCTCCCTCTCTCCTCTCTCTCTCCCTCTCTCTCTCTCTCTCTCTCTCTCTCGTATCCAAGGTAACGAAATAATTTGCAAAATGTTGCACAGTTCATTTCTCACCATTTCTTCATGTCGTACTTCTTTCTATCTATTTTGCTTTTTCCTTTTCAGTAAAATAATACGAGCTTATTGTTTGCAAAATGCAATAGCTTAGATTGCAATTACTTCAAAGCTGCTTATATACATGAATTCGCGATTGAATAATAACAATCAGTGTTCTCGAATAGACTCTTCCACACCGAAATCATTCTATTGCAGTCCTAAAAGTGAGTTATCAAAATGAACTTAATATCTTTGCTATTTCAAAAGTCACCAATTGGAGATCACTTGCAAGTTATTATAGCTAATATATTGCAACACAAAAATTTCCATTTTATCGTTGACAAGACAATAGTAAATATCAATTCCATCCGTCCGTCATTTCGAAGAAAAAATTATATCGCTAAATTTATGGTTAAATTTTTAAATATTAAAATTGGAAAAAAAATTTTTAAATTCCTAAAAATAACAAACTTTATATGGCGCAAGAAATAAAATACTAAATGAAAAACATATATGTTCCAGGTTATCATTACATACCATTCGCCAAAAGAAGATCTCAATCAGTGGACATTAGAAGACAAATTAGTGATAAGGTGATTTTACAACGTAATTTCTAAAAATTTCTTCTAATTGTATGCCTATAAATTCATCGTTTCTATTACTGTTTTTTTTTTTAATTGAAGTAGAAATTCGATATAAGGAAAAAGTATAAATTGGTCTATAAATCTTAAATATTTCGTTTGTAACTTCTCAGTGACAATGCAATTTTAAAAACTGAATTTTAAAAAGGAGAACTTTAAGGCAGATTTTTAAATTGATATGGTGAAACAGCTTAATCTGAGCTGAATAAGTGAAGCTCAGAGTTATCAAAATCGACGATGGAGTAAAGTTTTGGAACAGAACCGTCCTTGTTTATTTGTAAAAGATGACACAAGCAGTAAAGATTTACCCGCATTTTCATCAAATTTGAAGGCAACATTTGCAAGCACCAATCGATCTGGTCGATCAGCAATTATACAGTCCAGAAACAATCAATTTCAGTTATCGGATCAGCAACAAAGCAGGGTTCATTTGCTGGAGTTTTTATTATTTTGCTTCATTACTTTAGATTTTTGAGCTTTGTTTTATGTAAGCACTACATAAATATTGTCATCTTTTCTTGTTTTAAAAATCTTGATGAAAGGTATTTATGACTAATTATAATAATACATCTTAAGAGGAATGAAATCATTGAATGCGATTGTCATTGTGACATTTACCTTCACTTTTGCTCTCACAATATCTTAAAAAAGTAGACGAAGATTTGTGTTTCCATCGCATTCTAATCGGAACATCTGAGATTGGAAGATGTTTAATTTACTTTAATAGTGTTTTAGCAATAATTCAGTTATAACGGTTAATGATTTGGTTTCTTGGACAAGAAAATACTAATGGAATTCTACTTCAGATTGAAACAAACTTGCACAAAGTCATTTGTAACTCACCCGCATCAAAAATCCCACCTCAAACATCAAGTAGCATTTATGGAAGGAATATTGAAGAAATGGAAGAGAAATTGGATCAGTTCAAGAGTGATGTCCTTGATGATATCATCCAATGTGGTGTTTATACGGATAGGTATCATTATTATTCTTATAAAGTAATTAAAAATTGTAAATAAAAATAGGTAACGCCAGGTATGCTTCAGCTCTAAAGCAAGAAATATGCCGAATGCTTATACTTATTTCAGTGTTATCCAGCAGTGTATTTCAAAAAATGTGATAGAAAATTCGACTCTTACAATGGTATGTTTGACATTACTGTTTTCAAAAATTGTACTTTTCAAGTTTTTAAAACTGCTAAAATTGACATAATTTTATTTGGAAAACTGAATAACTACTAATATTTTCAAACGAGTAAGAAGGATATCAGTAACATAAAAAATCAAATTACATAGAGGTTTTGTCATGTGTAAATTTGAATATATCAATTGGTTGTATGTTAAAATTTTCCAGGCAAATTTACAGCAAGCAATTAATGAATTACTCAGAGATATTGGTGTATCCAATATTGAAGTGAATAAGATGATTCAGATAGCGAATTCAAAGGTTATTTTAGATGGTTTAACCTATCATGAATAGCTGTAACACTTATCCAGTTTTTTGACTATCACTAATTTCTCTCTGTATTATATAAGTTAGCTATCGATGGGAGTTAGAATTAGTTACAAGAAATCATTTAATGAATTTTCTAAATTGTGAAAAAATTATCATGAAATAATGTCGGATAGATTTCAGCCTACGAGTGAACAAGTGCCTAATTACAAGGATGAAGAATTCGAGAGTGATAAAGGTGAATCTTTATCAGTGATTGCATCTGTGGAAAGTGATTCAGATAAATTAGCTAAAGAAGATAAGTCCGTAGCGTCAAATTTTGGATCAGCATCGAACAGAAGCACTGATTCATTCACGACATCGAGCAATTCTTCTCTAACTGATACATCTAATTGATATTCTTTGTCTAATAATTTAATATTTGATATTTGTCTAATAATTTTTTGGTAATATTTTTTTGGTAATAATAATTTAATATTTATCCAATAATTTTTTGGTAATATTCTTTGTCTAATAATTTTATATTGTGGTCGTACAGCTAGCTATTGACTGCTAATTTTAAGTTTAACAATGTTTATTTTTAACCCACCTCACTTTTAACTTATATTAAGCTTTTTGTGAATTGAAAAATGCTATCGTTGCGTATTTATCAGCAGGAATAAGGTGAAAAAGTATCCATTAATTGTTTAAAATCGAAATTTCAAGAAAAAAGCTTTATTTTGATAATTGATTAGAATGATAAGATGTTGTCACTCCTACCACTATGACTTGTCAGACAAATTTCCTCCTTCTTTATCATTACCACATTAATTAAATAATGATAAACTTGTAAATGATAGTCGAATCCTTCAATATCACCATAATAACATAATCAAATGTTCAATGTATGAATGATAATGATAAGATCAATATGATGTTGTCATTCCTATCACTGTCAGATATCGACAGTGACAGGAGTGACAATATTACATTAGATATGTGATCAAGAAATTAATAGCGAAATATTTTGCAAATGGATTAAAAAAGATCCTCTAATGATCTATCAAGCAAATATTTCAAAATAACTGATTTTTGATTGATAACATAAGCTTAAAATGATAAGGACGCATTGTAGATCTATTGACTTTGGCTATCATTATCTATCGTTCATATAAAGTAGAAAAGAGACATATTTTCTTTTTCATTGATTCATTATCAAAATCACTGATAATTTCAATGCTTTTTATTGAAGAGTAGTCATCATTATTACTGCACACTTAATTTACATTATTAAAAAACAATTGATATATTATTGAAAAAATTATACGGAAGAATTTAATGTTCGAGTCAATATTAGAAAGATAAAGTGGAATTTGCCTGGCATGAATGAATAATAAAATTCTGATAACAAATTTGAAAGTGCCTTTAATGAGCCTCATAAGTACTTTAAAGGAACAATTCTTCCATTAAATCAATACATCAAGATTAGTCGTTTGTTTTGCTTTACTCTTTCATCCTTTCCTTCCTTTTTGGCTACTTCTTCGCCTTTTCTTCTTCCAAAACTGATGTCAAGCACAGTTCCACCACTAAATTTCATCATTTTCATAGGTTTGCTATTCAGATATTTCAATTGACCGTTGAAAGTTATGATTAAATTATTAAATTGAATGATGGAAATTTATAATATAATCATTTTTCTGATATTCTGTGTTATTGATATGCAAATATCAAAGATGGAAAGATGCAACTCAAAATTTAAAGTACCATTTTTGACAAACAATGCGATAAATGCTTTTAATCTTTTTGGAGTAACTCATTTATTTCTTACGCTTTAAGTAATGAATTAATATAAGTGAGTTATTTATTTCTTTTATGCAAGCAACTTTTATTACTTATGAATTAACCGTAAGTTGAAATTCTGCGATAATTCCAGATTTTGTTATTATCGTTTGTTGTGATTACTTTCCTCTGAAAAATACTGAAAGCGGTGAATTTGGTCTCAAAGATCAATATGGTATACCATGCCTGTTACTGAAATTCTCGGCGCAATTATACAACTTTAATTTAAATGGTACACATATTACAACTGAGGTGATAAATGCTTCTTCATATATATGTTACACGGAAAATGAAAGAAATTAAACATTTAGATTAAAATCTTAAAAAAAAAAACAATGAATTTCATTTTTGTCACAAGTTTGATTTTTTGAAAAGTACAGTAAGGTGCTGGACTTGAAATAATTCTCATTAATAGAGATTGAAATATTTGTTTAGATACCCGAATTAACATCACGAAAAGTGAAGTTAAGTGGATATTGTGCCGGTGGTGATGCAAACAGTAGTAAAGCGGAATTTAAAGCAAGCTGGAAAAGACAGGGACGCAAGAAGCAACTTACCATGTCGTTTGGAACGGTAAGTTTTTTACAGTTTTAATAAAGCAATAATTAAAATGCTTCAACCTTGTTACCAGATTCAAATTTAGATTATTGCCTTATTAAAATGAGTTTGCACATAAAATCAACAAAAATTTGCAACTTTTCATAGCTGATTCAGTAAAATGCTCATAAAAAAATCATTCAAGGCTTATGTGAAAGATCCAGTAAATCAGTTAGAAGTACTTCGATGGCAACTGAAAATGGTTTCTTACTCTGAAACTTATTCTAGTAAGTTAAGTTTGTATAGAATTTGTCTTGGAAGTTTTTTTCTATCGAAGATCATTCGTTTTTAAGCTTTGAATTCCTCAAAAGGAGTTGCACAAAACTTTTAAAATTTTTGAAGAGCAATCGATCAAATTTTCATCGAAGGAGGTGATGATAAGTGCTCCGCTGAAGCAGAAATTTATATGTCGCGATAAACTTAATTTAACACTAACTAATAAGCACTTCAAGGATTATATTCTCGAGTTAAATCCAGAAATTAACGCACAACCATATTATGTCATCGGCAAACATCCAAATTGTATGTCATATTTTAATATTTGTTAAAATCAAACAGACAAACCTTCTGAAAAACTTTTCATTACAGTATTTATTTGTGGCAATACACGACGACGAACGCTAGCGAAAAGTTTCGAAAGTCGGATGACAATTTTTTCCGGGATAGTTCTTTGCATAATATCTGTATCGCTAATGGTTGGATATACTTTCCGCAGACAATCACATCCCATTAGAAAGAAACTTTATGGATCACTCACTTAGTTCTTTTCTACTCTCTCATACTTTAACGTCTTTGTCCTTTTATTAGAAATATTACCCATGAAGTTTATGTGAATTAATTGGCTATAAAGGGATGAAATTTTCATTTAAGTGCACAGTAGTTTAATTAATGCTTACCTTTTTTACGCAGGTACATATCTAATGATGTTCAGTTTTGTTGACAGTTTATCGTAGCAGCGTTTTAACCTAATTTGTGGCTTTTCTCTGCAACGATTACTTAGCTTTTACAACGCCTCATTCATTTGAGGCCTCATTGAAGCAATGCCTTATCGCATATGTTGACATAACGAACAAAACACCAAAGTTCATTATAAAAATATTCGAAATTTTATGACAGTGAAAGCACCAATAATCATTGTGGCATCCGAGAAAAATAACGTAAAACAAAAAAAAAAGAAAGAAAATGACTGAACCAGCAATGTACTCAAGCATCAATGATATTAAAAAAATGCAATTTTAGCCTGTTAAAATTCGTGGATTTTCAATTGCAAAACTTTCATTTCGATTTACTTCCTCGCCTTTTACCTTCTTCTCTTGCGTCACCTGTAATATCAGCTATGCTTTGTTTCGAGCATATAATAGAATTCGTTTGATTTTTATTTAATCAAGCATTCTATCGGATTTCGCAAAGGGCAAATGGAAAAAGTTAATTGCGAGAAGTGGAAGCTGTAATAAGGCAAGTGAAACACGGTTATAAGAAAAAGGTATTAAAATTTATCGTCATTTATTTAATCTTTGAAATATATATAAATATCCAAGTGAAGCAACATTTTCGTTAATTGAACTGATTTGTTGTGCAGCAAGCTAGTCACATTCCAGAGGATTTTTAAATGCCGATGGATAGGATTAATAAGTTCCAAATGTTAGTTTTGGTCGTAGCCGAAAATTTCGAATCCGAACTTTTTTAATTTAATAATGAGACAAAAATTTAAATCTCGATGGCAAGAAGTTCGCAAAATAGCAAACAATACCTTTGTCACATGGAAATAACTGCCCGGTTCAGAACCAGCAGGTCGTACCACAAGATCGGCTGTACTACGAGCTTCGCCAGCAATATTTTCAGCAAGACAAGTGAACTGTCCACTATCGGCCATTTCAACTTTAACAATAATCATTGAATGCACACCATTACCCTCCTGAAAAGAATCCTGTTGTTACTTACAAAACGAGTGGAACCTAAAAGATGCTATGATCTGATTAGATGCAGAAAAGAGTTGTTTCGGAATGCTCTCTCTTGATCTTGTCTCATAGCTAAATTATCATTCCTAAGTTTCCAATATACAAGTTTGGTTATAGTACCAATTGTAACTTCTATTTTTCGCCTAAGGATATTTCCTAGATGATACTGTAAGACAGGAAAAAAGCTACAACTGACATCAATGAGGCGAACTTCATCACAATGTGGAATGACCAGGCCATTTCTCATCCAACTTATTCTTGGTATTGGATCACCGGTCACCTGAACGGTCCATTTCAATTCATCACCTTCTGCCACTTCTTCGCTAATTAATCGTCGCACAAAATCAGGTGCTACAGTTCGTGCTAAAATAGATTTGTCGATTAAATAAAAATAAACGATATAGCAAGCATTATAAAATTTTAAAAGAAAAAATTAAAATAGGCACAATGAAAAACAGTACAGGATAGGCAAATAATAAAGTATTTTAATTAACTTCAAAATATGGTCGAATTATTTGCAAACAGTGAAACCAAATAAAAATAAATTTAATGCAACAACTAAGATTTATACTGCTGTTAAAGTTGGCATTTGAAAAAAAAATTATATATTTGCCAAATTGAATTTTAAGCAAATAAAATCAAGAAGTTGCAACATACGCCTTACGACAAGCTGGGCACTTGAAGTAGCAACACCGGATGCATTCTTGGCGGTACACATATATTTGCCAGAATGTTCAAGCTGTGAAGCAGAAAAGGTCAATGATACATGACCACCTATGTTAGAGAAAGTTAGTTCTGGATTTGTCGCTTTAGATATTGGTACACCATCCTTCGTCCAAGTAACTTCAGGAGTAGGCCACCCTTAAAGCATTACAGGGAGTGCTACTGTATTAGAATTAAGCTAAAGTAAGTGATACTAACAATTCGAGTTACACTATAAATATAAAGAATCAAAATATGCAATAGTACGAGTAAGAAAAAAAACAACCGTACTGCCTAACTAAGAATGAATAGAAATTATACGATTTTGAAAATACATATACTTATTTGCTCTTTAATTTGAAAGTTGAAGTGATCACAATCTCTTAATTTTATTTACCTATTATCTTGAAATCGGTAGCAGAAAGTGGAAGCTCACACAATAATTATTCCTACATTTGTTAAAAATTTTAAAAAAAGAAAATGTCATATAGAACCTTACTTAATCTTACTTTTCAAAGATCAATTCAAGAACAGCAAAGCAAATCCAAGAGAAGTAACTGATTGCCTAATTAAGAACGAATTGAAATCCCACGATTTTGATAATATATATAAACTTACTGATATTAAAAGAAACAATTAAAGCTGCATTCAAATTATCAGAGATATCCATTTCAATAGTCTATTAAGCTCCCTGTCATAAAGTACGACCCTATATACTTTAAAACTATCAAAGCTGATAAAAGGAAGCTTATAGGATAAACTTTATTTTCATTTAAATTTAGAAAAATACTTGGACTTGTCACTTATAAAGATTATACATCGCCATTCAAAATTCATATTTCCTTCATAACTATGTCCTTTTATAAATATTAAAAACACTTTAACTTCCGAGTATTTTGATTTGAAATGATGAAATTGTGATAAATTTGCAATTTTACCTATGACAATGCCTTGGAACTTAGCTTCATCACCGCAAGCAGCCACTGCAGACACCAAAGTTTGAGTGAAATGTGGTGGTCGACCAAGTTCTCGACTCTCGTCAATATCATAACGCTCTGATAAATTCTGCTAAAAGTGAAAAAAATATGCGCTTCAATTCAGCTAATGAATTTGATTTATCCAGGAAAATAATTTAATGTTTACCATTCATAAATACAAATAACATTAATGGCAGTTAATATTGAATGACGACATGAATTCAGTGAACAATTTTCACCGGAACTGTGGTGAAATTTTTGAAAAACATTAAGAATATTTACTAGAACGAGTTATTGTAAGCCTAAAATCTGGGGATTAAAGGACAATCGAGAATGACTGCATCTCTAAATTAAAATCCTTAATTGTAAGAAAAAACTTGCATTTTGGAATGACCAATTAATTAGGAAAAATTTCACATTTAATGAATTGTCCGGATGGATGACCTTATCATCAATTTTTGCATAAATGAAGAAAATTAAAGCTAAGAGTGAAATTCCGCTGTCAGAAAGATCGATAAACGGTTATAATGAGATCGATAAGCATTTGATACAAAAAATGATCATCAATTTAAATTTTGTCAAAAAATAAGTCAAACAGTGAAAAAATTTAACTTATTACACGTCTGAAGGTATAAATTAAATATCATCTCTGGAAATTTGAATTACCAGCCGACTGATAATAAAACAAGTGTTTCTATCCATAATTTCAACTTACAAGTCGCTCATTCATTTATGCTGATAATTTCAATAAGCAACAAATAACAAAAACTATTGCAGTGAAGAAACTATTGCAATCCATTTTGTTCAAAATTTATTGATGGAATCATTTAAAAATCATGAATCCATTTCAGGACAATATTTTTCATTATTAATCATGCAAAATCTTCTATTCTTAATTTTATGAAATATTAATTTTAAAAAAAAGTGAAATTGCTATTTTCAAATTAGTAGGAAAAGATTAGATGAGTTGAATGAAAAGTTAGCGAAGCTGACGATTTTCCATAAATTTGAGCAAATCATTACAAAAATTCTGGAATGAAATCGACAATGAACTGATCAGCAGAATTTTGATTTCTTAAATTTATACGAAAATCAAACAACTTATTGAAATCAGAAATGCGAAGCGGGGTATAGAAAACGATGCTAAGGCATCATCCTTTGGCATCATCGATAAAAGCAACAAAAAAATAAAATACTTTGAATGATAGCTAGATTACAATCATTTAGCTTATTGTTGATTTGTTCAATTAAATCTATCAATATGGTACGAAATTAAATCTTACCTGCTGGGAATGTACTGTTTGTAATTGTTGTTTCTTGGCCGGAGGAGGAGAGAGAAGTCTTGTGGAGTGTTGCTTGGCTACCAAACGACGTTGTTCCTCTTCGCGCATCCTCAAATTATCGTTCACATATTCTAACTGAAAAAAATCCTTTAAAATTTCCAAATTTTCAAATCAATTTTGATTACTTTTTAATCCAAATGTGAAATTAAAATCAATTAAAAAAATAATTCACTTCATTTTAGTAAAGTTAATTCTAGAATTTGAGTCATTAGCATAAATTTTAATTAAATTAAAATTCACTAAACAAAGCAGCGTATGACATGAGCAATAAAATTTCAATGTCGTAGTAATGCAAATATGATTATCGGTCCGCATGCAAAGAACTCGATCATGCATTATGCGTTAAAATAAATCTACAATTTTTTGAGCCATTTGGCTTTATTCGTCAATATGAGGCCATGCAATATAATTGCAATTAGGCTTCACCTCCAATATTATCTGATTATTACTTTCATAAAGTGAGATAGTCAATCAAGTCAAAGAAATGAATAAAAAAAGTTTAAAAAAAAAGTTTCTCCATGAAGGGAAGAAAGTTGTAATAGGAAATAATTTGAAATAGCTAAAGCTATTGTCGAAAGTACTCTTTATGAGGCTATAATAATTATCAAAATACTTTTTCAAAGATTAAAGTATATTGTTTATTGGTTTTCTTAAGCAGCCAAGAAAAAGTACCGATGGGGGGACAATATGAATGATATAAACTGTTTATTGTATCTAGCTTTATTCAGCAAATAAATTTTAGAGAATGGTCTTATCATTGCTAGCTCAAAATGTTAAATTAAAATAGCATTAAAATGCAAATTAAAATTTTTTTATAATATAATACAATTTGCAAATTATCTCTTTTGCTGAAATAAAGCTATATCCAATACATTAATTCTCAATAAAAAGAGGATATTAAAAAATATAAGAATCAACGATGTAATTTTTATAAAATTTAAATTGTGACGGAGGAAAGAGAAATAAAAGTGAAATTTGAAGAATAGTTTCATTACGCTAGATTTAATTTGAAAGAGTGAAATTAAGTTTTCATATTAGTCTCCTCTATCCTCTGCACTAATTCTCACAATGTCGTTTCGAAAAAAAAAATTTTTTTCTCAAAACAAAACGATACCTGTTGTGAGAAGCGTTCATCAGGTATTCGTTGCTCATACTCATAAGCACCATATTCTTCGGTTATATGAACATGCTGTAGATAACAGCCAATTAAAAATAGTTTAGCAACTATTGAAAACTTTGATGAGAGATTTACTTTTACTTGCAACTCATTTGTCAAACTGAAAATTTTTCATTTCCCAAATTTAAATGATAAGTATGTATTTCTAATGAAAAAAAAGATAAATTACTGAACGTCTTGAAAAAGTACAATGTAATATTCTGATTTTGTTATTAACCTCAACAGTGGTAGGTTTCAGGGATCGCGGTAGCACGCGTACCACAAATACAGATTCCGTTTCACCCCGTATGTTTTCTGCTGTCATCTTGTAAACACCGGCATGATCCAAACGAGCCGGTTCCAGTATTGCCGAATATGTATCACCAATATTCGACAACTGAAATTTTCCTCAATTGAATTCTGACAGAATTTCATGAAAACTGAGTTCTGATCAGAATCTGTCATGTTTTATGTTCTGAGATACCGTTTTTTCTCGGAAATTAGCAAAATACGAAGGAAGAAAGTTGTAAAGTGAAAGATATATTTGGGAAATAAACATTAAAGAAAATGGGATGAAATAAAATTTTCAATATTTTTTGTTAATCCAAAAGATGCTTGCTTTATTTGCTTGTCTGAGAATAGTAAAAATAAAAAATAATTTTGAGGTCCATAAATTTTCATCTGTACAATCTTTTGGGATGGTTTTCAGAATTTCAATGCTCGCATACAAATTTGATCAAAATCAGTCAAACTTTTTCAACATCATTGTTGTTATCAGTTTTCAACATGAAAGATTACAAGAAATATCAGATGTTGAGAATGATATTCAAATAAATTCTTTGCTTCTGATCTAAATCAAGTTAGAAACTTAAGGTACAGTCGTTCATCTTTGTTACAATCTCTGTACTAACACTTACCGTGCAGAATTTCGAATTAATATTAATGATTTGATTGTTGAAATACCAGCGCACTTTGGGGCGTGGATTACCAATCATCAAGCAGTCCATTTTGAATTTTTCTCCTTCGTTGACAATATATTCGTTTTGGAACGGTCGAATAAATTCCGGTACAGTAGCAGTGGGACTGCAACCTGCAACATTAATTTCGATAAATTTCCTGTAAACTTTGCAGAATCATATTTTGAAATAAAATATTTAATCGTCGCTTTACATCTTTCGCAGCAATTCTATCAGAAATGAATCATGCCTGGGATAAAGAATATTGCAGTAAGAGAATCTCAACTTGATAGAATAATAAAATTAATAAAAAAACTAGAGCATTGAAGTAATGAAAAAAGTAATAAACTAAAATACTGAAATGGAGTAATAAACTTAAAAATTTTAAATTTAATACGTCTTATTATTTTAAAAATGTAAAGTATGAAATTACCAATTTCGGAGACCAATTTTTCAGCGTATTCTTCAATTTCTGAATGATAGCGATGTTTCGGTACGGGCGGCGGTGTTGGTGATGACATTATTGCAGAATCACTCCAAAAACCTTCTGCCTAGAAAATTTGATTTTTTTATCGCCGACAAAATTCATTTCTTCCCCAAATTTCATCTAAATCAAAATATAAATTTAAAAAGTGCTTACCGTAGTTTGAACGTTTGTTTCCTTCTGTTCTACTGCCATCCGTCGAGATTCCACATTCAATGTAGCGCCCGATCGTGCTTCACCTGCCTCATTCTACAAGTAATTATTTATTTCCCAATTTTATTCATTATCATTTTCAATCTCTACTTGTAATTTAAATAATATCAACTAAAAAAATAATTCTATTTCCCCACAAATAACGAACAGTTTTATTTTCTAGACTTCACTGAATATCCAGTACCTTTGCAATAACAGTATACATTCCGGAATGTTGAGGAAGAGTATTTTCGATGACCATTCGATACCATCCATTAATGTCATTCTCTATGCGTGTATCCAAAGTTGTATACAGTGGTTTATCGTTATGCTTCCAATCAACTGTTGGCGGTGGTACGCCAAGTACGCGTATCTAAAAATTCTATGCAGTTTAAATAAAGAATGATTTTCTTTTAGAAATTTCAAAATTCGAAATTACATGAAAATTTATAAACCTCAAAAACAGTCCTCGAACCTTCTCGAACAACTTGATTGGTAAGTGGTGGTGCAAATGATGGCGTGATTGATGAAAATTTTGGCTCTGATGATGTTGAAGGTGGTATCACAGAACTTCTTAGAACTGACGGTGTTTGTATTGTCAGACGACAAAAGTTGGTAGCTTCACCTACGGTATTTGTTGCTTTCACCGTGTAAAGACCAGCATCACTCATCCTTGCATTCTTCACTTTCAACGAGCAATGATCACCTTCAAATTGAAGTTCGATATGTTCCGATTCTTTGATCGCTTCTTCTTCTTTATACCATACAACCTGCAATAATTGATCAAATTTTTACTCCTACTTAATGAAAAGGTTTAAATGGAGACTGCTTCGATGTTTAATCTTTTGGATACTCGAATATACTCAGATAATTCTAAATAGTAAGAGTTCAAACATAACAGGGAAATAGGTAGCTTCTAATTCAAATAGCCCATGCAGCACTGAAATAAATACTAGTATGAGTGTAATAACAAAAAAAATAATGATATTATTATCATAACAGTTAAATATTATCAAATTATTGCAGTATCATTTTATCAAAACTGCAAATATTCAATTTGTTTGGTCATTGATAAATTGTTAACTGTTCGAAGATAATCTAATAATAAGCAGAATAACAAGCATTCGACTGCAAAATAATGGCACCTTTGGCTCAGGAACGGCTATAATAATGCAATCGAGAAAGGCATCATCACCCTCTGTGATCGTAATATTGCGCAGCTGTCGGATGAAACGCGGTTTGAATGATTCTTCCGCCTGTAGCCCCATCTCACTTCGAGCTATAAAAGTTTTTAAAAAATTCAATAAAACAATCGTTTTCACCAATTTCTTCTGTTAAAATTAAAGGCAATCAGTATAAATCGATATGGCATTTAGATTTCTCCTTCAGCATATATTCGAATCCTTCCATTTTTCAATTATCAAAACCACATTTATTCTCAAAATTTCATAAACTTAAAAATTTTAAAAACATGTGAAGATTTCAAATTCATTCTCAAAATTTTTTTGAACTGCTAATCTGCCACATTTTAGCAGTTTGAATTATAAAATATCATTATAATTAAAAATGTTAAATGGCGACGGATTGTTCAAGCACTTATAAAAAGAGTACAGAATTCAAACAGGCTAGGTTGAATTATGTTTTTATAGCCAGAATAGTGAGTTCTCATTTCATCACGTACAAAAGTTCAACTTCTGGAAATAATCTCGAGACTTACATTTGACTACAAGTTTTGCAGAAGATTCAGCTAACCCCGCGACATTCTGAGCACGTACTGTATAAACGGCTGTGTCTTCTACAAATGTTTCATCGATGGTCAAAGTGGCAACCCCATTGACGAATGCAGTACGGTAATCAATATTATCCTTCACATCTCGACCGTCCTAAAAAGATAAATATGGACGGATTATCGAAAAGAATGTTTATTACAAAATATATCCATTTTGCGCATTCGAATGCAATACGTAAAAGAGATGCTAACTGAGTCTGTTTCGTAACATGCATGATATTTCAGATTGTAATTAATGTTTTAAATTATCAACCAATATGAAAATTCGTATTAAAAAATTAAAAAAACATTACATACCTTAAACCAGCGTATTTCAGGGACTGGTTCACCTTTGATATAAGCGGTAAATTCGAATCGACTACCTTCATCAATTTGCGCGTCACGTAAATGACTTGTGATTTCTGGAGCTTTCGTCCTTTCCCTGTGGTGAATGGAGAAGAGATTGAAGATTTGAAGTTAAATAATTGAAAAAATGATGTGATCGCTAATTCCTATCTTATTTGTTAAGTATTCATGATCAAAGTTTACATGCATAATTACTTCCAACAATCAACAATGGTCTTAATCACCGAAGAGCTTGAAGAAGGAATTACATTTTGTTTCCAATAAGTCTCTATAAATCATCTCACTCTCTTCCTCGCCTTGTAGAAACACGAAAACTAACTAAAAATTTTGATTATTGTTAGATACTGCATTCATTCATCAGTTTTAATTTGATGACGAACGATATTTTTTTCAGCAAAGAATTGACAAAAATTACAGAATTCTTGAAGTTCAAAAAGCAACAAACTTCGCTGCTTCATTAACTCGCTTTTCTACAACTCGAATTCTCTCCTTTAGTTGTGTAAGTCGTCTTTCAATTTGTTTCTGGTGCTGTTTCGCTAACATTACTTTTTCAAATGCTTCTTCACCTATAAAAATGCTTCATCGTATCAAAAAATAAACAATTCTTTTACATCAAACAAAATTTTTTTGCTTCTTTCAATTTTCAACACGGCTAAGACTGCTCTTTTTCTGTAATTCCCTTCATGCGGAATTCAGAATTACGGTAATGCCTTATACAATAGTCTTATTTTTAAACTGTAGTTCTTAATACCATCGTTACCTTCAGTTTCCTTTAAAATTCGTTCAGCTTCTTCAATTCTTCGTTCTTGTTCCTGGAAACGTTCTTCTATTTCTTCAATTATTTTCATCAATTCTTCATGTCGTTCAATCACCGTTACATTTTCTAGTTTTTCTTCTACGGTACGAATTATCTCCACCGTTTCCTCTTGCCAAATTTGAACCTTGAAAAAGAGAAAATTTTATTCTGAAATGTAATTATTTTGCCTGAAAACGATTAAATCAGATAGACCTTCCATAACATCGTGTCCCATTTAACAAATTCATACCTCTTCAACAATTCGGATTATTTTTTGTTCCTCCACTCGTTTATCTTTCCATCGTTGCCAAGTTTCTTCGGTCATTTTCTGTCTTTGTTCATGCTCATTTAACAAATTGCGCACTGAATTTATCGACTGCTCAATATCAAGTCTCGGATCCTTCATCTTAGCTGATTGGGCTGCATGAATGAATTGATTACCTGAAATATTTTGAAACATATTTGAAATCTCGTTAAATAAAAAAGAAATATTGCAAGCTACAGGAAGCTTTTCCACAACAAACCTTGATGTTTCTCTTGTCTGATTGTTTCTTCGATCATACGAAATACTTCTCTCATTTGTATAAGTAATTTCTCGTTCATATAAGTACGATTTGAACTAATTAAAGCATTTAAACTCTCAACTGAACTCTCAAGTTCGTTAGCAAATTTTTGTACCTGCAACATTAATAATTTTGTAGTATTATCTCGTCTGAGGATAATATAACACATTCAGATATTTTCTTAACTTAATTCTCTCAACAATAATGATTATTCAATGAAAAGAAATAAATAGCTGAACAAAATAAGACAATTCCAATTTCTTAATTCATTTGTCTTTCGCTCTTCGATTAATTTTTCAATTTATTCGTTATTTATTTTTTTTAAACATTTTTTCTAATTGTTTCTTAAATTTGTATTACAAAAATTTTTCGATTCTTGATTTTTTAAGGTTCAAACAAATTTCAACGCGTTGACTTTAGATCAAAATATTTTCTTAAAATTTCACCCACCTGTTGGAAAGCAGTGCCAAGATTAATGCGTTCATCTACCGCTTCTTTCAATGATTCGTATCGTTGTTTAAATTCCTCCAAACGTTGACGATCAGTTGCACCTAATTCATGACTTTTGCTCCACAAACCGTTTAGCTCAAATCCTTTGTTCTATAGAGAGGATCATTAAATGTCTAACTTGGAACGGACGTCAGTGTTGAAGAGTCAAAAATAAATTAACAAATCTTCCTTTTTCGAGTTTTATAATCTAAATTAAAAAAAGAGAAACAAAACAAATATCACTTACGATAATATCAGTAAACATATCTTTGTGAAATTTATGGAACTGAATGGCATCATTCAAATTGCAACCTAAACGGCTATTCACCATAAATGATTGCTCAGTTTCTGTTAGCCATTTTTCGAAACGATATAACTAAAATGAGTATCTATTCCAATGAATAATGGATGAATTGTTTTCTTATTCTATTCAATCATTTTACTACACAAATTTCTTCTCTCAACAAAAATTTTATTCATAAATATCAGTAGAACAAAAAAAAAAAAACACCCACCTGATCTTTGACCAATTCTTTGCTTTCATCAATCCGTTCACAAGCATAATTCTCGATCTGTTTTAGTTTATTCTGGATATCAATGATGAATCGATTAACACGTTGATCAATGTGTTCAATTTGTCGTCCGTCATCAATCACCTTTTGCGCTTTTTGTCTTGCCAAAGGTGCCAGTTCTCCAACCATTGCTGCATTAGCATTATGCATGTCTGATTCCATTGCACCTAATTGGTTCAACATCTAAAATAACTATTTAAAAAAATTTTCATATTCTCATTACATCAAGAAAATTTCGTTACAGTATTGGATAATAAATATCACGCTGTAATGTTTATATTCCATTATAATTTAGCAAATATCTTTTATAACCAAAATATTTCACATATATTGAATTTTAAGTTTGATAGCTTCTAATTAACAATAATTATCACTTGATAATTTATGACTACTTATTAAAAAAATTGCCTGCAGGAGGTTTAACTGTCAAATCTTAAGCAAAATTGAAAAAGCTTCATTTGGAATGCAAAAACTTCAATTGTTTTTATAACTTACGGTATTTGCAGCTGCAATCCATGCGATCACTTTATCGTTTTCATCTTTTCTTTGTTTTAGCTCTTGCATAAATGTATCCAAATCGGTTTGCAACAGCGTGACACGTTCACGAAGATTCGCATTTGCGCCACTTCGATCGATGGTTGATATGATATCTTTTAGTGCTTTATGCTGTTTCTGAATATTCAAGTGTTATTGATCGGCAAAATCTCCTCCAATCAACAAACAGTTTCTTATATATTCAGCAAATTTTATGTCTGATTTTATTACTTCCTGATAGCTATAAACAGCCTCAAGAATTAGATCAAAAAAATCATTTTCCTTTACTATTTGATTTCTTTCAACAATAATCCAATAAAAATTGTTCACAACTTCTTAAAAACTAGTTAATCTTTTAAAAAATAATAAATTTAATGAAAATTTTCGTTAGTGTATTTGACGAGAGAGTGAAATTCAAAAAAGCGCTACATGTTCCAGAAAGATGAGAGTTGACTTTTGAAATATGGAATTTACCAAAATTTGCTGCATCAATGCGTTGATATTTAGTCCATCACGAAGTTGCATTCGTGCCTGTTGAAGCCATTTTTCAATTTCTTCAATGTGAGACAGAATCGCTTGGCTCTCATCAACTTGCATTTCTAGTTTAGATCGCTCATTCTTCCACGATTCTTCAAGCAATTCCCATTCTGCTCCCATCTGTCAATGCACGATTTCAAGCATAATTAAAAGGATACAACTATTCCGCACTGTGAAGTGAGTAATTTCATGAATTCTTAACCGCATTTTATTCATTTTTTCCTTTCCAGCAATTTTGTTTAACAACAAAGATTTTAATACACTTTACACGTGAATTATCAAATTTTTATAAGGATTTTTTGATCGCTACTATCAGCAGCAACCAAACTGAAGAGATCAGTAAATGTTTTCAAATAATGACATTAAAATTGCTAGTAGTAACAATTTATTTAAAAAATTATCCCCTGCGCAAACGTAAATATAATATTGACTTACAAAAGACAAATTAATTACATTTGGAAAAAAAATTTTTTCTGATTATGACTTTTGGAACCAATTAAGTATTAAATATATGTGAATCGTTCATATCAACATTTTAATGAAGTTTAATTCAACTTTTCAAAATTAAGTAAATTCAGAAACACGGGCACTAATCATACCTTTAACATAGTTTTTTCGATTAGTAAGCAAGCGTGGGCAGTTTCCTGAACACTTTCTACATTATCAGCCATAGAGCCCAGTATTCTAATTTGTGTTATCACATCTGCTCCGCTATCCACAGCTGACGCAGTTACATCGATCAGTTCTAAATTTAGAATAATGAACTGATACGAGATTAATCAAAGTTCATATAAGACTTTAATATTTCTTCAAAAATTTAATCAAAATTTTTGAATACAATTCAAATTTTAAACTAAAACAATAACCATCGATAAATTGTTGAATTTGTAAAACAGTATCGTTTAGATTGCCGACATCCGACTGTTGAATTATTGTGCGAAGCATATTTCGTATCTTCGAACTAATCTGAATAAAATAAATTCTCTTATTTCTATAGTAATGACAATGTCTTGTTTGCTAAGAACAGAAACACTTATTTGAGCCAAAAAATTCAAATTAGCTGAAAAACAAGTAAAAACAAACTTCTTCGTGGCGTGTTGCCAATTTATAAAATCGCTTTGTTTCAGCAAGTAAAAATCCTCGCATGTGAAGTTGACGATTCAATTCCTTCCAAGCTGTACCCAAACTTTCAGCCATTGCTTCATAAACGTGAACATCGGGCTCTTTTTGCTGTATTACTAAATTATCTGCTCGAGCAAGTAACTCTTCCACCTGATCTTCTTTATTCTGAAAATCAATTTAGCTAACTGATTAATTAAATTTTAAAATAATTTTTTTTGTTTTTATCAATTATTTTTATTGAATCATTGGATATTCATTTAGCTGGCTCTTTCCAATTGTCATTTTTTAAAATAAATTTCTCTGGGAAATTGCTTCATGTTAAAAATGATCAGCTAGTCAGAATGTCGTCACAGTAACATTTTTTTTGACTAAAATATATAATTATCATTTCTGCGACGCACTGACAATAACAACATCAAGCGTTAATTAGGGATAATTTAAGTACCAAATTTGTCAAAAGAACAAGATAATGATATTGAAAAAGTATCGAATTGTGCTAATGGTAAATTAAAGACGGTGATAATGACAAAGTAGCGAGAAGGGAAGGGAAAACCTTAAGTCGATGCATCAGATCTTCATGGATAGCCAACAGAGCATTTGTTTCATCCACATTTTCGCCAAGTTCAAGCATTCGTGGTTGCATTTCATCAATTCGAAGAGATGCATATCCGACACTCTGTAAACTTTTTGTTTCATTTCATCTGATAGAATACAATAATATCATCAATACAATATTAAAAATACGGTTTTTGACCAGTTTGACCGATAAAGGAATATTTATTTTATGGTGCTGTTTTTCATCCGAATCTTCTCTACTAACTGGAAAAAAAAATTGTGAAAATAGCAAAATTAAAGCAACATATGAAAGTTTATTCTCTTCTCTTCGTCTGGAAAATGAAAAAAAAAACAAAATAGAAATTTTGATGATTTATAAAAAAAGATGAAAAACCGATTAATAATGATCAATTCTTTCGTATCAACAGCGCCGCATTTTAGTTCAGCTAACTCTGAAACTTTGAAAATAAGACGCTATTGCTTAGATCTTAAAAAGACACGTCTACTACAATGACTAATCAATAAAGCATAAACTGAAAAAAATTATGTCATATTTTTATTTCCTGAAGATTTAGTGATTTTGCTTAGCAGGTATAAATTTTCTCAGTTATAAATTCGCAAAACTTTCTAGTCTCATTACTTCCTCTGTCTTTGTGGTGGAAAGTTGAATATTGCTAAATAATAAATAACTCTACTCAAACTGTTTCTTAATGCTCTGCTCCATTTTAGTCTATAATTGCTTGGAAAAACGTATATTTTCCTCAATCTGCTTATGTAAGATAAATTTATTAATCATATATGTAAGAAAAATTTATTATTAATCATATGATTTTCATGTTCCGTCAATTTTTCCAGTTTGCACTTGTTTGTGCAGCAATTTCTCGTTGAGAGTGTTTTACTCCTTGAATTCAATAAATAATTCTAAATTCATGTTTTTTACGGAGATTAAAGAGCAAATAAGATTATAGAAAAGTGAGAATTAGCATTGGGAATAAAAATGGTCAGTTTTTAATTGCTGGTATTAAAAGTTTGATGAAGAGACAAATTGAAAAGCTTTAGTTACAGCGCGAAATGTTATCAACTGGCATTTTAAAGTTGTAATAGATTCAGAAGAAAAAGAAAATAAAGGATTAGCTTATTTGAATTGAATATATTTATTCATTAGATTTGTGGCCATTTAGTAAGATTTTATTTTCTTTCATTTAATTATCCTTAAATTTCCTGTTTGTTCATTTGTATTAAAACATGAAATAAGGAAAATGCAATTGCAACAGCAATGTCAAGCTACCTGGAATGTTTCAATCATATAATAAACAAGTTTTGGACTTTAAATGATTAAAAGTTCTGTAATTTATATACAATTTGTTATGATTAGTAGTACATCTCTATTTTTATTCAATTATTTCTTTCAAATAGTGAAAGTATAAAAATGCTTCTTTGGTCGGATCAAAACGAATCAAATGAACAATCTTAGAGTTTAGGAAATCTGCCAAAACAATAAGTGTAAAATGTCGCTTGGACAATTCGTAATGCTCCTTGGCTTTGACATATCACAAATAAAATGTGTAATTTCAAATCTTCATTTCCAAGAGAAAAGAAAAGGAATTAGCTTCAATGATAAGCTAATCATTTAGCAGTAAAGGAAATAAAAAGAACCTTTAGTAACGCGACAACAATTGTTGCTTTTTTACCGGCATTTATTGCAATTGTACTGATTGTCGTGGTGGTTGGCCGATCTGAATCATTCATTCCGTTTTGCATCTTATCACTGCTAACTGCAATTAATGAATAATTATTAATAGGAAATGGACAGGAATAGAAATAAGAAATGAAATACAATTAATATCTACGATGCTTCTTTTACTTTATCAACCACACACCACCATCATAGCTATCATCACTACCAATACTACTAACTAATCATTCATCAATGTTTTGAGATATGTGAATCAAAAACATGATAACATCGGGTAACTTTCGATTTGCGAAGCACAGAGATCTGAAACACACATTCACATACACACATACACACAGACACAGACAGACACACTCGTGAGCTTTACAATTCCAGCCAAAATGATATATATATATATATGTGTATCAGGATGAAAGACTGCACTGATTTCACTCTCGAAATAGAATAGCAAAGGAGCCTTGCAGATAGAGAGATATGCTTTAAGGCTACAAACAGACATAAACACATTATCACATATGATTTCAGCACACAGCAAACTACACTTCCTACTGTCTATTATCGTCGTGAATTGAGCTGGGAGGAATAGAATGGATCAATTTCAACTTATCACTATCTCTCCTTCCACAACTACTTTCAAAAATGATTATTTGTAAACAATACCAGCAGCGATGCTACCATCCAAAAGACACATACATTATCTTATCATCTTTAAATATATGTTTGCTACAAATAAGGATAACACCAAAGTTCTATTAATCTTTTAAGTCTAACAAACTTCAAATGATAAATTCTGTGTAGCATTACTTGCCTACAAATTACATACTAATATTATATCACTGTATCTTCAGAGATATTTATTAGTAATATTTCTTTGGCCTATTTTGGTGAGATATCATTCCAAGAAAATTATTGAAGTTTGGGTTAAAAATGGTGTATGGGCACGATGCAGTTTTAATTTTTACTTGTTTATCAATTTTTTGGACATTTCAATTATTCATGTTACAAATTGTAATCGATGTGATTTAGGTTCGTGAAGTTACCAGCCGTATGATGAAAATGAAAAACTAGATTAAATCTTTCCACGAGTCGGAAGCAATAAATGATTTCTTTAATTCAAAATCTTTTGAACTAATCTAATAATTTAAATTGCTATTTCCAAAACAATTTCGTCATTCTGTAACTTCAACCCCACTCGCAAAACAAATAAGAAATTGAAATCACAACTTAAGAAAAATAAGATAACCAAGCTGCAAATTTGCAAGCTCTACAGCGGGACTCAAAAGTGCCATTCTATTACAGCAGGAATTAGACGATAGAACGAACGTTGTTGTAAAGTGTTGAAGGATGTACAACCCTCAAACTAAAGCTTCAAAGGTTTGGGATATGTTGTTAATATACTTTCAGTTTTAAAAGAAAACTTGAAAACACGTAGGGACTCCAATCATATAAGAATGAAATCAAAGGATTCCTGAAGTCATATTACATTTTTAGAGAACTCCATCGCTTAGTCGAGTGCTTCAGTTCCTAAACTTTATGAAGACTTATGTCATTTAAATGCACAAAAAAACAATAGCAGTTAAGGATATACTTTTATTGGGATAAACTGCAAGATCATCATAAAAATCTGGTAATATTTACCAAGACAATCGCAATCCAACTATCATCTATATGGAGTGAAAAATATTATACAAGATGGAACTTTGCAGTTATTTTCTAACACCAACTGGAGTTTTTTCTTTCAGTGGGTCGTATTTTGCAAAATACAATTCGTCCTGAATGCGCTGTGCTTTCCCACGCCTTTTATGCAAAGACATATGCTCCGGAATTTGATGTATCAACATGGCTTTCCAAATTTCTGCTGAAAATGAAAACATTTCGAAAAGAAGTGAAGCCAAAAGTCATATAGTATTTTTATTAAAAAAATTTAAAAAAAAGCACTGCAGAAGTCTTTTTATGAACAATTAATCTTAAAAAACAAAAATGAGGATAAATTTTTGGAAAGATGCAAAATTATACCATTTTCGTCTTCCTTAAAAGACGTGCAAAAAGAGCAACAAAAGGAACTGCATAAAAAATATGTGACAGAACTTACGTGGAAACTTGGCTATGTATATTGGAAGCAGTATCGACATCCAGAGAACGATATTTCTATTAAACGGACATAGTTTCCACCACCAACGAAATGGAAACGATCGAAACTGTAACAAGCATAAAGCATAAGCAATTTTAACTTAATTCAAGCTGATCAGTAATTGTTAATCAAAAAGGTAAATAGAAAAATCAGTAAAGAGTGCAATTGTAAAAAACAATGCAATTCGAACAAATGATGTAAATTTATTTCAAAAGAAAGCAGCAATTTAGTTATTCACAAGACACTTTTCTAGACAAATAGAGAATGTTTATAAAATTCAGCTCCCAGTAAAATGCGAGGCTTCTTGACAAATTTCAAATGAAACAGAAAGATGCTACTGACTTTTGAAGCATGAATAATAAATGTACTGTTTTTGGTCTTCAATTTATAGCCCTTTCATAGTTATTTATCCCTACCCGACCGAGCAATATACAGCAAAACTTACTCCTTCAGCAGGTGTACTCGGAATAGCTGGTTGACGAGGGTGAATATCAGTTGCTGGAATAGGAGCATTAGGGCTAGCTATAACCTTAGCAAGACCAACAAATGTCTCACCCCACCATTTCGCTTCACGTACTAATTTATCCAGCATATCTGCAATATAAAAAAATTAAAAAATTCCAATAATTCACTTCCCACGCGTTTCGAACAATGTTGATGAGCACAGCACATAGGACATGGTTATACAAATTGATAAAATAAATGTAACGACATGAACTGCATGAAAAGTGAAAAGGTCACAGCTTATAATGAGAAATAAGTTTCGAGTAGTTAACAAACACTGTCTTCACCTTTAGCTTCCCAAAACTTCCTGCCTTCTGCTTCTTCCCAACATTTCCTACCGAGCACTTTAAGCCCTCCCCGTAGAATCTGATACCCTCATAAACGACCCCAGACCGTACAACTCGACCGACCCGACAGAGAGAGACGGAAGCGAAAAACCACCTTTGCACCAAACGCCTCTAACGTTCCCCTTCGAACTATCGTATGTTTGAGCTTTACAGCAATTCGGCCAGACATCTGCCGCCTTCTGGAATGTTCGATGAAGAATCCTAGGCAATTGGTCTGTGAGTATATGATGTGTGGGGGTCGGGACAGGTTTCGTGGCCGAAGCGGTTTTCCGGTAGGAGTGCTGTTGATGTGGAATATAACATTTATTTCTCTTTCCTAGAAATTATTTTCAAATTCAGAGCTTTCAGAGCTCGTACGGATATGATTGATATGGACGTGACAAAGGTCACAGCTTATAGTGAGAAATTAGTTTCGAGTGGTTAACAAACACCGTTTTCATCTTCCCAAAACCTCTTGTCTTCTGCTTCTTCCCAACACTTCTTACCGATCGTTTTAAATCCTCCCCGTCCGGTACCCCGATTGCCTAATTCGACCGGTCCGATTGAGAGACTGAAGAGAAGAGAGACCTTTGCACCAAATGCTTCCAACCTGTCGTATGCTTGAACTTTACAGCCGGACATCTGCCGCCTTCTAGAACGTTCGATGAATGGTCGCGAAGAGTTTTAGTAGGCAGTTAGTTGAGAAAAAACTTGGTTGCGTGGTTGCGATGGTTTTCCGAAATTCGGGGTAGTTTGGTTCCAGATTGGATTAATAATTGGTGTGGTGATAGTGTTAATAATGTGGGATGTTAGCATTTATTCCCCTTTTATACAAATTATTTTCAGGTAAATTATTTTCAGAGCACGCTAAAATGGCAGCAGTTGATGCAGTTGATATCACCCCTGAAAAGGTCTCTTTTAATTTATTAGACTTTAATAAGCAATGTTTCTAATCAGTCATCGATACCTTCATTTGTATCACTAGCAGACAATATTTCTACTGAAAACATAGTTTGTTAGGTCTAGAAGAACTTTCTTGAATTCGTTAATTTTATTTCCATCATGTATAACTGGGAAGTGATTTGTCATTTTTCTTACAATCGGATTTTTAGGATGGTGGTGTTTTGAAGAAAATATTAGTGGAAGGAACAGGGGAACATCACCCTTCAAAGGGTGATAGTGTGTATGTGCACTATGTAGGAACTCTTGAAAACGGCGAGCAGTTCGACTCGAGCCGTGATCGTAGCGAACCATTTAACTTCACATTGGGCAATGGACAGGCAATATATGCATTTTATTTCATATATATCTTTTGCTTAATTAATTTTGCGGGGAAAATTAATGCTTTATCATCGCGAAAAATGCTATTGTAGCAATTTTAGATTCGTTTATATGAAGAATCACAGATATTATAGGTTATCAAGGGGTGGGATATCGGTGTTGCAACGATGAAGAAGGGCGAGAAATGTGATCTCATTTGTCGGGCCGATTATGCCTATGGCAAAAATGGTAGCCCACCAAAGATTCCTGGCGATGCTACACTCAAATTTGAAGTAAATGAAACTTTTTCAAGTTCTTAATTTATGTGTGTTTTACCACATCTATAAATAATATGAATGTTAAGAAGAAATTTTTCATTTTTTAGATTGAATTACTAAATTGGCAAGGAGAAGACATTTCACCAGACAGAGACGGTACAATTACCCGATCAATTATTGTGGAGGGTGAAAAATATTCAAGCCCCACCGAAGGTTCAACTGTCAAAGGTTGGTTTTGTCCATTTATATTTTATAGGTAATTAAATTTGTTTACTTGTTTTTTCAGATTATCTTTCTAAGTAATGCGTGTTTCCCTCGAGAGGGAATTTGTGTCCTATTCACTATTTGAGGGATAGTTGCTGGAGGGATCACTGGCAGTGGTTGAAGTCGGCATTTATTTCAGTATGTGCCGTTGGTTCATACAATGGCCGAGTGTTCTACGATAAAGAAGTCAGCTTCATTTTGGGAGAGGGTTCTGAGGTAACTATCAACGATTTTTCCTAGTTCAAATTTACCTGTTTTTTCAATTCATTGATGCAAATGATGACAATAGGCCGAGGATAAGCATTTAACATGCAATGATCACACTCATCGAGAAAGCAGTATACTGATGCCTATTATTTGCAAACAAGTTATCAAGTCTAATAGGCTTGAAGTCACATATATTCGAAATAGGTATCTTCAGGTTGGTTTGCCAGAGGGTGTTGATCGCGCTCTTCGTCGATTCAACAAAGGCGAAAAGTCCACAGTTCATCTCAAAGGAAGCCGTTTCACGTTCGGCGCTACTCCGCCGCCAGAGTATAATTTACCGTCCCATGCTGAAATTGATTTTACTTTATTCCTCAAAGAATATGAGAAGGTGTTTTTTGATATTGTACCTGGGATTGTTGTTTCTTTTTGAACTTTTTTTTGCTTTAAAAAAAATTTTTTGCTTTAAATATTAATTTTAGAACTTATTTCCATTTTTTAAATCTATAATTTATTATATATGAAAGCTTTAATTTTACAACTGTTTGAAAATGCAGTAAACTTCATTTTTAGATAAAAGCGTCATGGGAATTAACTGGTGAAGAAAAGCTTGATGCTGCGGAAGCTGCCAAAGAAAGGGGTACTATGTTTTTCAGACAAGGCAAGATGCGTCTTGCAGCTGCAAAGTATATGCGCGTTATCGAACTGCTGGAATATGAAAAGCCCGTAGACAATGAAGCCAAAAGCAGACGGGATGCGCTGCTACTTGCTGGTTATCTCAACAGGTTCTTGCGTTCTGATTCTTTTTATTTCATGAGCTGTCTTTTGAAGATATCCAAATTTTAAAAAGTCCATATCAATATCTTTTGATTTGAATATCTACAACTTATTCCTGTTTTCTTCGATTTAGCGCCCTCGTATACGCGAAGCAGAATGAAACAGTGGAATGTATAAAAAACTGTGACAAAGCGCTTGAAGTTGATCCGAAGTGCGTGAAGGCACTCTATCGAAAGGCTTTGGTAATTTTTTTGATAAAATTATACACCAATATTGTTATTCGCATGTTTTTATTTCGATTATCTTACATAGAATAATTAACACATGATTATAGTTTCAACAATGTTTTATTATTTCAGGCACTCCAAGAGCAAAACGATGCCGATGAAGCAATTATTGAGTACAAAAAGGTGCTGCAATACGAACCAGACAATAAGGTTCTCTGTCTACGGTGGCACATTGATCTCATCAGTCATGAACTTTTCTTTTATCAGTTTTGCATAATATTCCATAAGTTTTAGGCAGCGGCGGCGCAAATAGTGGCATGTAAGAAAAAGTTGGCGGAGATTCGTGAGAAAGAGAAAAAGCGATACAAGGGAATGTTCGAAAAATTTTCTGCTAAAGAAAAGGTTGCGTTTGATTGGATTTTGAAAGTTTTTGGAAAATTGTATTTGAAGTAGGTTTATGATGCAATCCATTTTAGGTTCAGATGAATGAAGATCTGGAGACACCAATGGAAACCGCTAGTCCAAAATCGGAAGTGGTGAATTGAGTAGTGGAATTATTGGTTCCACTGTTAAATTTGATCTATTTCACATACGTCCTTTAAATTTTGAACGTATCTGTTTTTGTCAAAATTATTGATTACCACTGTTCAATTCTTTATTCATAAATGTCAAATGTTCTTGTTTTGAGCCGATAAAAGTAATTTTTACCCTTTCGTAATGTATAAGAAATTTTATTTGGTTCCATAGAAGTTATAATGGGATGGAAATACTTTGAAACACTGTTAAGTGAATACAACGCTGGATTCATGATCTCATATAGATTTTACAATATATAACCAGTTGATGATGTTATTCACTGTATTTTGTAAAAGAATCGAGAGCGGTCGTGAAATCTGTTAGTCGAAGGCGTGGGGATTGTGTTTCTAAGGTATACGACCAATCAATACGAGGGTTCTTATCATTGTTTTTGCGAAAGTCGAATTCGAGAAATTTCAGGCCTATTTTAATTAACAAAATATCCACATTCAGAGATGGCAGAAGTTTCTTGTTTATTTCGAGGTTTGAAGTTCTACTCAGTTATAAATATTTATTCTGTATTTTAAATCTTTCTGCAATGCTGTTACTAAAAAGTAAAACGGATTTACTCTTAGCTGAGATTGAAAGTGGAGGCAATCTTTAAGAAAAATTTTTTTTCAAGCAGATGAAGTCAAAACGATAACTTCGAAATACATATTTATGAAATTCTTCGCTGCACAAACTTCCATCAATCCTCATTTAGTCAACAACTACTGGCTCTTAGAGTATATTTCTCAAATTATTGGGTGATTTTCTATAACACAGCTGCTTTGGCTCTAGTATTTTCCGATGCAAAAATGGCGTTTTGAAGCAAATGACTAATCATCTATTTTGCCTCATATAATTGCTCCCATCATGGTCAATCTCTCATGCAATCTACAACGTTTAATTAACACTCTACTTCATTCATTTCATTTTTTGCTCTAAAATTTTTATTGCCCTAATAATATTAAATATTCTGGGAAAATGCTTTTTTTTAATATTCAATTTCAGAAAAAAGATGACTGAAAATATTCGTGATAGAGAGAAATCCTTCACTTTATCTATAACACTCTCTTAAATCCTAAATCTTTTTTAGAGAATCAAATAAAGTGGCAGGCTTTATGAATATCTTTGACTTTGCAGATACGCAAACAACATTGTTGCAGCGTAATGTTGAAAGAAAATATCATAATAGGACAAGGAGTAACAATGACATGGGGATTGGTCAGATATACATGGAACCTCTCTTTGCACAAGCCATCAATATTCCACAGGTTTCATCCCATTAGTTAACTAATCGAGAAAATTTTCTTTTCATCATTATCTTTGAAACGGATAAGATTAATTATACTTTTGTTAAGACGCCGATTTGCAAAGTATATATGGAAAAAGCATGGCGAGGTTTTACAGCACAGGTGCGAATTCATTATCGAGCTGATACTTTGAAATATCCAAGAATGATACATTTCAATATGCCGAGAGGTTTGAGAAATTACAGAAAATGCTACATTTCAGCAGAGTGACAAATCTTTTCTTCTTCAAACACCATTTATTACAGATTTGTTGTTGATAATGGAGTCGCAAAGAGCAGCTGAATTCAAAAATATGTATATACGAACATAACGGCATTATTAAATGAAATTGTTCGTATATTTTTTGATATTACCTTGATTTTTAACATTTCTACTCTCTGTACGTTCTACAGCTAAACGCTACTGAATCGACTATTTCGAGGATAAGATTAATTAATTAGTGATAGGTTGTTCATGTTTCAGTATTACTTTGAAAATAATATCAGCCTATTGAATATTAGCAGTAACAAAAATTAAATAAATCTTTCTTTGGATAAAGTAGTATTGCCTAAATTTTTCAAATTTATCCCAAATATCCCGCACTATCCCATATTTTCACAATTGATGGGATTTTTGTGAAGTATTGAGGGGCGAATTCTAAGATCAGAAGTTGCTTGACAGTAGAACATTCCGCTTGATCTGAGCCTGCACAAAGTTTATTCGTGTCATGTAATTGACTCGAATATCGGATGTACTGTTTTATTTTACACGATATCACATTAACAATGACGATCATACAGCGAGTAGTTCCTTTTTCTAAAAAAAAATATAAAGAATACAGAATAAAAAAAGCGTGAAGAATAATGATTAAAAAATAAGAAAATAACGATTGAAATACTAAAGAATAAAATATGGAGAAAATAAATAAGTAATAAAGGAAGTGTAAAAAATTAAAAATAAAATGCAGAGAATTCATCACTGGAACTGTTAGCGATTGAAAATATCAAACATTATGAAATTGTGGATTCAAAAAAGACATAAATTTACCATCGAAAATTTAACAAAATAATTTCGAACCAGATTTATTAATATTAAAATTATTTATTTAATTGAACATTGCGCAACTTCAAGCCCATATCATTGTATTCTTGCTATTTTTGGCTTTCTTTTCAGAATGTTCTTATTTCAATTTCGGATTATTTCTGGATATTTCCTTCTCGTTACTGGATGCTAATGACATCTCTGCCTTCGTAAATAATTTTGGTGTGCTATTCTGATCTGCTAACTCTGCTGAATCACCCATTGCTGATTTCATTATTGGATTTCTTTCCAATAAAATTTTCGGAAAATGACGAGTTTTTTCCGATAATCTTTCTATCGCTTCTTTAGATGTCAGAGGTAGCTTAAAATTTTCAGTTATTAAAAATGTGCTGAAAAATATAGTTGGCTGAATTAAACGAAGCTAAAATAGTCAGATTTTTTACCTGATATGTATTTTGGAAAATTGATAGAAGATCATGAAGTATAATATCAAAAGGCGTTGCAAATTTTTTTTATTGAAATGATCGAAATCCATTCTATCTCTTTATAGTTGTCAATTTTAATGTTGCCTACGTCATAATTATCTATGAAAATCTGATGCAAACTAACAATGTCTTGCATTTTCACCATGTGTAAAAAATATTTTTTAGAGGAATATAATTTTAAAAAAGGAAACGAAAATTATCAGAAATTATTTCGTTCATTTGATTAAGCTATTGATGGTTGAATTCGAAATAATTAGTAAACGCAATTTTTTCTAATGTATCTGAGACATTCATCGCAAGACTATTCGTTGCATACTTTTACATTCATTTGCAACACCAAAGTAGTTAGTTAGTCTGAAATTTAGAAATTTGAAACTTTGAAGTGTGAAAAAGTCTATCGACAGATTTATTCCACTAATTTATTAATTACATTTTAATCCATCAATATGTGAATGACGCAAAATGAGCCATACAAAAAGAACGGGAAATGTTTGAATAAATTTTTTCTAGAATTTATCAAAAATTTTAACAAAAATAAAGAAAAGCAAGAAATTGCTCTCCAAAAATCATGTCTAAACCCACGTTAATTTTTGAGATTAAAGCAATCTTTTCAAAAAACGCAATATTAAGTAAAAAAAGGTAAAAATTCAGGAAATTAACGAAAGTGCAATTTTTTTCACAAATCCATCAAAAAATATATTTTGGTTTTTTATAAATTGCAATTTAACATGGATTAGTTGGATAAAAGAAACGACATTTTAAATAGTATTTAGGCTTTTTTCTTAATTCTGTAACACAATATTTTGGTTATTATTGCTGTCAACAATAGCACGCCAATGATTTATCATTTAAAATAAAATTTAGAAAGAAAAACTAGAAAAGCAAATGGATTAGTTGATTTTTGTACGGCTTGTCGCCAATAATTCCTTCGCTAATGTAGCTTGTCCACTTCTTATCAATGCATCGATTAATGGTCCAAGCCAATGATTCTTCGTTTTGAGTATTTCAATTAGCTTATCAACTTGATCTTCACGCTTTTCCTGCATAATACTGATAATGACCGCAAAAAAATATAGAAATAATTGATATTGCGTTATCATAAAATGAAATTCAAAGAAAAAAGAAATCAATTTCATGTCTGCATTTTCAAAAAAGAAACAGTTATATAATATTGTAGCTAAAACTATAAATAATATGAAAGATATGTTTAAATACGAATTTTAACAAATAATTTGCATGAAAATCCGAATATTATTTCTTTAAAATTTTTTTGAATTTCAAGGTATACAAATGCTAAAAATATCGTATATGATTACAATTATTAGAAATGATTATATTAATTTATGAAAGTTTTCGAAAATAATATGAAACTTCTATTATTTTCCAAATTTTATGTGCAGTCAAGATTAGTTTTCACTGTGTTGTTTGAAAAAGCGGAGAAAAATAGGAAAAAATGATCCCAAAATACAAATTTGATTAAAAATTACTAAATATAAGACAGTAGATGAGAAATGGCATTTTGATGCAAAAAATAAAACATGTAATTTTGTTGAAATGGATGTTTGTCATCATAAATTTTTGTGTTTCTTGAAATTAACAATTTATAAATATTTGAATCAAATCATTAGCAGTATAATATTGGAAAATCGAAATATTTCTTAAATATTTTAATAACCTATCAAAAATGAATTGTAAAAATATTTTAAAATATAAGTAATATGCACCTCGGAATAAACTGCGCTCATTTCTTGTGAGCGTAAGACTTGTCGTGCAACCAACTGTGGAACTAAATCACGCATGTCAAGACCAGTTAATTTCGATCGTAATTGATCCAAATGATAACTTTGTTCAACACGCATATCGGCTAGCGGACGTGAACAGGATAGCATTTGAGAATCAGCAGACATTACCTGATAATTTATATCATCATAAAATTTTATGATTGCAAATTGTCCGAAATGTCGCTCGAAATGAATGTCAAAAAGTAATATTCATGGTACTAGTAGAATTTTAGAAGTCTAATCAATATTTCCGAATCAATCAATAATTGCTATTTCTTACAATTCATCATATAAAGATTCCCTGTATTCTGTTCTTGCATTTCCAAACAAGCAATAATCAGAACGGAAAAAAAATCGTAATATGCACAAAAAATAAGTCACTATCACAATAATTTATTGAAGAATAGCGATACTATTATCGTATGAAAATTTAACAAAGTGAGATTATTAATATTAAAGAAAATCTCAATAGCCAACCTATCAATGAAACTTTTTGGCAATTGTACGCATTCTTTTTTCACTGATATTATAAAATTTTCTTCTTTTCTCTTTTTCATTCATGACCGTTCACTAAATTAAACTATAAAATGATAACAGTTTTGTCTGTTTTTATTTGGTTATATTCACAATGTGAAAAAGTAGTTAAAAATATTGTTGCTCAATGTTAGTGTATCAAAAAACTGAAATCGAAAAATTCGTTTTAACATAATCCATATGATCCGGATGCAATCCGAACTATATGATGAATCATGTTAAAACGCAATGAAAACTTTCATTATATTAAAGTTGCATTGGAAGTGTTGACAAATGATGATTCAGTCTCCTATCAATTAAGATATATCCTATCAGTTAAAATGTATCATTCATTGCATAATTCTTATTTCAACAATTAAAATGATATATAACAATTAATAATGATCACCTTATTCTCTACCATAAAAGATAATGATCGCATATCTGTTACATAAATAGTTATAAAATTAATGATTATAGGCTATGATTATCGTAGTCTAACTGCCCAAGCATGATGATCCGCATATTTACTGTATGTGTACAATTGCAAAAATAATGATTATGTATTAACTTTCATTATATTAAAGTTGCATTGGAAGTGTTGACAAACGATGATTCAGTCTCTTATCAATTATAAGAAAAGAGTACTATCAATATTTCTGGTACGCTACAAATGTAAAAACTGCAAAGTACTCTCGACAGTATGATACAAATGTAAAAATTTATATTTAAAGCAAATATTTTGCTTTAAAAGAAAGAGATAATTTCTAAGGGATAATTGTTTGAATAATCACAATATTATTCATTTCCACTTTTGCTCACTTTTCGAAATGTTAGGTAAAGATACAATTTTTTTGTATAAAAAGTCGAAAAAATTTTTTTTGAAGTGAAATTTATCGTTTATTATTTGTGAATTGATTAGAAACAGAGTAAAGTAAACGAGAAAAAAAAGTATGAAAATAAAAAATTCTTCAAGATACATTATCTTTTCGTTATATGTTGTTTGTTATGGAAAAACAATTCTGTGGTTAGCAATGGGATACTCAGTACTTTATTTATTTTAACTTTTGATAAATTGATTCTTTGAAAATTATTTCAATATACAATAAATATCTACAAAAAATTTTTCTCTTTCTCCTCTTTTTTATGTAAGAAAATGAAGTAATGTTAGAAATAGCATTAAGGAAGATGAATTACAGATATTGCATGTTGCTCTTATCATATCACCATATCCTTATCATATTATATGTTTTAATTTATCATATTACCATACTATCGTGTGAATAAATTATCATGTGAAAAATGAATAAATTTGTGAATAAATCAATAGTAAATCTGATGGAAAATTCATGATCTTTAATTTGAGCAAAATGATTAATTGCTATAAATAATATTAGCACTCGAAAATATCCAATTATATTATTGGACATTGTGATATCGCTGATAAAAATTCAAATAATAAAATTCTCAGTGTAAGAAATGAAAAGTACAACAGTTTATTGTATACAAAAATTGAACCATATTAATGTAAATAATGTTGTAAATAATTATTTTTTTCCATCTCCTTATCCTCCCTCCTTCCTCCTTCCAGAATTATATCATAATTAATAAAGTCTGCATTATCTTTAAAAACGAATATTTAATAAAAACGAATTTTAAATGAATGAAAAAAGAAGTATAAATGTAAGATGGGTTGGAATAGTTGAAGTTGTCAATAATACTCCTCTCGTTTTCTCGTGTTTGTTGAAAAAAGCACTTTGCTAAGACAATCACAGTATGGTGTAAAATCTTTCCAAAACTAACGATAACCGAATAAAATTTTTTCAGGCTGATTAGGTTTGAAAGAAAAAAAAATTGGATGCATGTTATTTAGTATCTTTAGCAGAATTAGAAGCAAAAAAAAACGAAAAAAGAAAGAAAGGGGAAAAAAAGAACGGAAAGAGAAAGACATAAAAAATATTCGACGTATTCGTTATGCCGACTAAATTGCTTGGTCTAAAAGTAAGAAATCATGAATTGAAATGGCTTTTCCTTACTATTACTTTTCACTCGTCATTTTCTCCTTCTTTTTTCTGGCGTTTTTGTCCTATTATCGAATATTTAAAGACAATTAACTCTTTGGGAAATAAAAAATAAAACATATGAATAAATATTTTAAAAATGATTAAATGGAATTGTACATTTGCTGAAATGAATGATATATTAATTCATTAGAAATTTTGAAACCTTTGAAATGTTCATTCAAAATTTTTTGCAAGAAATGTTTCGAAATCTTTTTTTTTCTTCCCATATAAAGAGTGGAAAAAAAGAAAATGAAGATAAAAATTTAACTTTGTCTTAGAAAAACTTGCAGCAAGCAAACAAAATGGAACAAATGGATGATGAAGTTCGCAATGCGCTGGTTGGAAACATCTGGACAAATAAAATATTGCTACCAAATTAATTTTCAAACGATCTTTTAAAAAAATGAATGTAAAATTTTTATTTCGCATCACAATAAAAATGAATTTTAACTTAAAAATTCGAGAGCTTAACTTCATCAAAAAATTGCTTGATTGAGAAATTAATTCCATAAACATATTTCTTCTTTCACTTCTTATTTTAACTTATCCAGAGGAACAAAATAGTAGCGCAAAAATCATTATTTCATAACAATATTGCAAAATGTGTTCTAAAAAAGTTTTGTAGTATATTTTTGAAGTTGTCAAAAAACAAAGCTAAACGATATAAATATTGATCAGTTTGTGGTGAAAATATAACAGTTAATGAAATTTGAATCTTTAGTATTGAAAGCTATCAAAATTCCGGAACACTCGGATTATTTTTAACACATTTTAAATGTTAATGTAATGGCTGGGAAATGAATCATAAAGTGAAATGAAGCGATGAAAAGCGTTTATATTTTGTTAAAAACTGGAGTATACATTACCAAATGCAAAGAAATTGATTATTTCATATATTTATAGCGGTCAATTAAATTTTCGAATTAATGAATAAATAAACAAAACTAATTAATGGTTAAATTCGCCGAAAATAGATACAAAGTTTTAAAAAATGCGATTAACTTAAAAAGTATATATATTATAAAAGAATGCATATTTTGCGAAAAGTGAAGAAATAGCAAAGAGCAGTATTAGAAAAGATGTATACATTATTAGTGAAATTATTTAAATATACAAGGTTAAGAATTAAATATACAAGAAAATATACATTAATAATTAAGCAGAGTGTTGATACGAAGCAAATAAAAAAACAAATAAATGAATAAGTAAACAGATGAATTAGGAAAGTTAATAAAGTGAAATGATGGAAAAAAGGAAAAAATAGGGAAGTAAAAAATATAAATGAATCATAGAGGGAATATAAAAAGAAGGAAAACAAATATAAATAATTAACAAAAAAATAAGTAAAAGGAAGGGAAAACGATAGAACGCTACTTACTTCTTCTTTTCTTACAAATACTAATACTACCATTAGTCAGCTGCCATATCCTTAAATTTAATCTTTCAATAACACAATAGCCTTTTGCACAAATGCTTTTGTGTAAAAGTTGTCGATAATCATTGTTCAACGTTCAATTTCAAAAGTTATATAATAAATTTTAAGAAATTTCACAAAATATTTATATATTGCATGATAAGTATAAATAAAAATAATTATTATATGCCGATATTTTAAACATAAATAAAATCATATGAAAATTACTGCTAGCTAAATAATCAAATTGTAACCCAGTTAGTTAAAGAATCAAATTATAATCGTCATATAATGAATCTGATTGAAGATAAAAGCATTATTAGCATTTGACATGTTTAGCTACGTGTGCAGTTTGATAAAAATTACGTCCAAACAATTGACGTGACATATTTAAAATTAATATCTCATTTTAAAATCGAACATGGTTTATTTAAAATAGAAATGGAACATTTAATTTTGACATTGTAGGTTTAAAACAGTTGACACATGTTTGAATGTTATCATCGTGCATGAAAGAATAATGAAAATCATGCGTGTAGAGCACGAATAAATTTATGATAATAATGGAATAGGAAAGGGATGGTGGAAAAACATATGCATGTTAATGATTTTAACGAGTTTTATACAAATAGTAAAATAAATTTAAAATAAAAGCAGCTGTGTGAGCATATTTGAAATGTTAAATGTCAGAAATAGTAAAAACTCATTAATAATAAACGCCATATGAGATGATAATGATAATTAGTACTATTCTTTGATCAACTACAGTTATCGTCATCCTTTTTTCCTTTCATTTACAAAACTTTCTAAAAATAAAAAAAGAATTTTTTCAAATAACATTTCCAAAACGCAGGATTTTTATAATTTCTTTTTTCGATCAATTTCATAACTTTATTCATACTAAACTGAAATCATATAAATCTGAAACTCTAATGTCGGCTAAAATTTATCCACAATATGGATTAAATAAATCATAATAAATCATAAAAAACTTAAAGAGATCTCTTGCAAATGATTGATGATACTAATCGATAGTGATCATATCAGTACCATTTTTAAACGAAACTTTATGTTTATAAGGTTGGAATAATGAAAGGAAAACAGTAAATTCTATAAAGCAAATATTTTATCATCAG